CCGGGTGTCTGCTGAGGAGGATTTACGACACACAAGATTAGAAACAAGTGGACGAGATTAGTGAGCCACATAAATAGCAAAAGGTGCATAGCATAAGCTAGAGACATACTCACGAGGGGCAAACTGGGTGTCTGTGAAATGAAAACTCACCAAGGATGGTGTTTGGCAAATCCGGCTTCCTCTTGAATATGTTGCAAAGCGAAGCAGCCATTCAGGGAGTTATTGGTCTCACTTTGCAAGGGTCTTATGATACGAGTCCTGTCGGAAAAGTCAAGAGCCCTGCATATTTGACAAATCTTTGAACCGCTCGTTGAGGCTGCTAATGATGTTGAGCATGAAGTGCCAACTTTAAGCACGGCGCGGGGTCCGCCTAGCTGCTTTGCCCATCCAACTGCCTCTCATGAATCTCGAAGGTATGCACGGTGGGTACGACATTATGGTAGAGGCTCTCAACTGTCATAGTTCGGCTCTGGCGAGCGCCATGCTCTCTCATGAAGGCGCCCAAGTAGCCATCCTCGTGTTTGAACGAATCACCATACTCCACGTAACGAGTGCAGAGCGTCAACTTTGAGCATCAACCGTGAAGAGCATGAATGTCGTGAATCTCGAGGTTGGTTTTGGTCACAATGGCTTGCAGCTGCATGAAGTGCGAATGCAGGGCGACTGAACGCCCTAGGGTTTCCGCAGTGAGTGCATGCCCTTGTCAACAATATTGAAGTCCGTGAAACGCGTGGCCACAACCATTGTAGCAAGGGCCTCCCTGGATGAAAGGTGAGGTTTGGTGACAGCAATAACGGGGAAAAAGAAACGCAAGGTGACGATAAATAAAGCAAAGATCACATGTGCACAATGCAATGACTGAAGAACAGGTGTGGAGTCCTGGTGCAAGACACGCCACATTTCTAGTGAACTCCCCGAGAATCATGTTCGCCCCATTTGTGGTGGTGCTATTGACCTTCGCAAGGTCGATGTTGCACGACTCCAAATGTGTCGGAAGCACTGCCGGCAGAAAAGTTGCATCGCATTTTCGACCATGAGGTGTGAAAAAAGCCCGGTTACAACCGAGCTGTTACGGAGGAAGGTGAGCTACGCAATCATGTGTGAGCCTCTCAATCTGTCCTTACTCTCATCTAGCTGCAAGCCCAAATAAGGGCTTGCCAGGATGTGCTTCAACTGCCGCGCCTTCAGGAAAGTCACCATCGTCTCCACCAGGTACGGCATCCCGTATCTATCAAGCACATTTTAAAAACACAGTTAATAAATGGAATTAATTACCATTTGGTGAAAAACTCATGCATATACTACACTCACTTCGAGCAGTATGTGCCGTGCTCCTTCAATGGCATGTCCGGTATCCCTTGCTCGGCCATGAACTATACAAGGAAATCATGGAGGGCAATGGGAGCATCACTCTTACATATGAAGAGCATGATACCAAGCAGGCGTGACAGGTGCTTGGCTTCCACATCTCCATTTTCGTAGGCAGCGATGGTCAGCTGCTTTCTTTGCCATCGTGTTGATCCTGTTTTGCTTGAGCTTTCTGGTGCTTGATGCTGAAGTGGTGCTTCCGCATGGTTTGTTTTTGTATGTCGGTCCCGCCTTTACCCAACCACCCGTATTGGTAGCCTCCCTATGGACCGTACAGACACTACACTTCATACATGGCTGACCGTCCTTCGTTCATGAAATCAAAAGCCACAGGAAGTGTCGATGCCATTACTCCTTCGCTTTCAGTTGAATCTCCTCCATCGTCATGAAACATGGCCCGTTGTTGCTTGGTGATGTAGACGAGCCAGCTTCATTTCGATTCGGGGAGGTTACATGTGGCACGGGGTTTGTGCCTGTCGCTTGTCTCATACCGAATGTCAGCGTTCGCTGCTTTTACTTGGTGTTGCTCGAAAGCAAGGGCTTGCTAATACGTGTTTGGGTGATTGGGGATGGTGAGACTAGGAACGCGGCCGAATCAGATGGCGCAATGGAGAGCACGCTGCCTGCAACATTTGATCTTTTGAGGGGCGAGGCTGCCGAGCTTGTAGGGTCTATGTGGCATGTGTTTCTTGATTCTATGTTTGTGGAGGGAGTCAAAGACTCAGGTGGAGGAGGAGGAGGACCAGGTGCCTTGAAAACCCTGGGAGGCAAGTGGCTATGAAATGAATAGTGATAGGCATGGGCGGGGGGAGGATCGCAAGCCCAGTCTCAGTAGAAGCTGTACGAAAGCTACAGTCGAGCGAGCGGAGGTGAGTGACAAGGTCAGCAGTGCAGGAAAACACTCCTAGGTCGGGAAACAGGCGACCGAGCAAGGCGGAGGAGGGAGTGGAGTAACGGGTCTTAATCGCGGCGAAACAGGCATGCGCAGATTGAACCTGGCTGAAGTGTGCCTCTTCAGAATCGGGGAGAAGGCTGCCGAGGGTGATACGAGCCGCCGCATCACGAGACTACCACACTGATAGGGCTGTACAAGCTTTGGCAAAGTGTGCTTGCTCCTTGTCAGTAGGCTCCCCAGGAGGTCACCCGGGCGAGGAGGGGAACGCAGGTCACCAGAGACGTGCGCCCAGAGCTTATCGCGATCCTAGTTCTGACTATGTAGGTACAGCTCAGTGCGTAGGAACCAGGTGGGAAACTTTAATGCCCTATCCTCCGCATCGAACCGTAGGGGATGGGTGGTCGTCATGGCTGGAGGCCGACCGGGCTAGGGGCAAAGACTTACGAACGAACGAATCTCGAGACGAGCGAAGTCGGAAGGGTAGGGTCCTCGCTAGGATTCTAGGGCACCTGATGCGCCAGACGGGCCCCTCGGGCCCGTCTGATGCATCAGAAATTTTGAATTTCCTTGTCTTACAGATCAGATATTTCAAACAAATGTTTCCGACCAATGAAATTCCGGTCTCTAGATTCTGATTGCACGAGGAAAGAAAACAAGAATCTGACTTGACTTGTAACAGCCAACTTGCCCCGTCACAGCACATTCGACCTGACACAATGAAGATTGGACCAGTCACATCAGGAGATCGACTGGGACAGCATATTCTTACGGAAATCATGCTCTACTACCGTAGCATGTTTCGGTTTCAGACGAATCGCGAACTGTATCCTGATGAATCAGATGAAAACAGAATTTGTTTTCTGACCAATCAGATGAAAAAATTAACCTTTACTAGAAAATCCGATTAACTACAAAAAATCTATCCGGAAACACAGAAAAACAGACAAAAATATCTGATAGCGAGGACCCTACGGAAGGGCGAGCCTAGGGACGGTCGAAACGAACGCTAAGGAGAATCAGAGAGGCTAGTCTGGAGAGGGCCTAACCCTAAACTGTGGTAGGAAGGTCAGCCGCGGCTGCCAGCCGCCGTGGGGAACGCCTATGGCAGTAGGTACGTGTGGGGCAATGGGTGCGGGTGCAGGTACTTGTGGGGCAGCAAGTGCGAGTGCGGCTGCAGGTGCGCATGCGGCTGGCCCGATGTGAGCGATTGCCGATGCGTGCAGGGCGGCAGGCACGTGCGCGGCTGCTTGGGACAGTCTTCGCGCGGGGTGGGCAGCACGCGGGTCGGGTCGGGTTGCGAAGTGCGCGCGCGGCGGGCTACGCGCAGGTGCAGCCTGGACTGCGCGCAGGGGCGGGCTGGACTGCGCGCGCGGCGGGCTACGTGTGGGGCTGTGCTCGGGGCGGGACGAGGCTGCGTGTGGGTGGGACAGGCAGCCCGCGAGCAGGACGGGGCTGCACGCAGGCGGGACGGGCTGCGCGCAGGCTGGACGGGCTGCGAACCGGCGGGGCGAGGCAAGCTAGGCTAGGCGGGGCGACGGGCTAACCTACTCGTGATACCATCTCATAAACGGAAACAGCGGAATGGGGATGACTAGCAATTGTTGTGGTACAAATACTAACCCCTATATATAACCTCACTACAGCCTAACAACAATAAATATAGTTTGATATCGAGGCCTGATTCAAATAATCTACAGACCAATGGAAAGGTTTTCCAGGCCATAAGCCAATGCAGATTAGCCGACAGCACTGCTAAAACCGAAGTGCATTGCAGCAAACTGATTGACCCTGCATCAAACGAAATTGTTGTGCAGCAAACCAAATTGTTATGCAGCAATCCAAATAGTTGTGCAGCAATCCAAATACTAGTTGTGCAGCAAACCAAATACTAGTTGTGCAGCAAACCAAACGCGGTAGCGGTAGTTGTGCAACAAACCAAATAACCCTGCATCAAACCAAACGCTAGCCCTGCAGCACCCCCCTGAGCACCGGTACTCACTGACGCAAGCCAGGGGCAGCGTGGCTGTCCCGGCAGTGTTGGGCGTCCCGGAGGCGTTGGTGGTGCAGATGCCGCTGCCGTAGCACAGCATGCCCTGGCCCGCGGTGGCCTGGCACAAGTTGCTGCAGCCGGATGTACGCTGCGCCGTGCCCTTGGTGGTACACCCGGTAACGCTCTGGAAGCAGTTGTTGCTAGCGCCGCACAATGTGGCGGTGTTGGCCGGGAAGGAGCCCGAGAGGAACTTATAGCCCAAGTCAATGTCCACAAGGCCCGCGGCCAATGGTGGCATGCGGTACGTCAGGTAGTTGTAGGAGAGGCCGCCGGTGCAGGGAAGAGGGGAGACAGGAGGAAGAGGGGGAGGCAAAGGGTCGGTTTAAGAAGACTGGAGGTGAGAGAAGATGGAGGAGAAAGAAGCAATAGGGTTGAACCGAGATCAATGTTTGCTTAACAGCGGGCAAGTGCATGGCAATGAGAAGGCGGTGATTGGAGAGGCACTGACAGGATTGTGAGCTTGGGCATTGCGACGAGTGCCGGGGGCAGGCTGCCATAGAACTAGTTGAAGTCGAGGAGGCTGCAAGAGTCACACATGTGGCACATGCTCATAGGCACACACAGGTGCACAAATGGACATGCAGACAGAGACACACAGCAGGGGTTCAGCTGGCTAGGAATGGTAGTGAGACAAGAGCAGAGGCAGTGGAGCCACTGAATCACAGCAATACGAAGCTGGGGGGCGACTCACACCACTGCGAGGTTGGGCAGCGAGGGAATGAGGCTTGCAAACTCCTCAAGGCGCTTGTTGAGGAGGTTCGACTTGAGTGAGCTGTGCGGCACAGCTAGTCCCACAGGGGAGGGCGAGGGTAGGAGGGGAGGGATGGGATGGAGGGGAGGGAGAGGAGTGAGGGAGAGGGGGAGGAAGAGGGACACGGTTGAAAGGTGAAGGGTGAATGGCAGGTTGGCAACCATTCCACAAGCTAACCGGCTCGAGACAAGACGATAAAGGTGAGCTTACTCCTGTAAAACACACGTGACGAAAGCAGGTGCTACTGTAGTTGCGAGAGCTCTGATAGATGTAAGCGCTTATAGATTTGAAAGTACATATGTACGTCAGTGTTTACAAATCTGAGTGAATGTGAGTGCTCACACAGATGTGAATGATTACGCATTTGTGAGGAATTACATGTATGTGAGCGCACTGAGCTTGGTGATGTCAGCATGCAGAATGCCAGTCAGCTTCTGGCTGTCCAGGGAGCTGAGGGAAGGAATCGAGGTGAAGCATGAAGGCAGGAAGCAAGTTGAGTGAGTGAAGGGAAAGCAGGCCATGGTGGGACAAGGATGGAAAACCGATATTGAGGGATGAACAAGGGCCTCATGTGGTCCCTCTTTCACCCTTGAAACCCCTTTGCCCCTCCCTCTGCCCGCCTATCCCTGCTTCCCCCCACAGCAACTAGAGCTCACATCTTGACGGGGCTGCCTAGCGAGTTGCACTGCACGCCCATGAAGCCGCTGCCACCGGTGCTGCCGAGGGCCGTGCAGGTGGAGGAGAGCGCCCAGTTGGTGTATGTCACGCCCAGTGCTGCCTTGACGTTCATCAGTGCTGACGCTGGTGGGCGTGGGCGGGGGTACATGGGGAGCAGTGATAAGAGGCATGAGCAGTGATAAGAGGCATGAGCAGTAATAAGAGGCATGAGCACGTGTGTGGGCAGGCAGTGATGAGGGGCGTGGGCTTGCACATGGGCAGCAGTCGGTGTAGGTCACACCCACCGCTGCCTTGATGTTCATCAGTGCCGACAGTGGTTATGGGGGCGGTTGTGCACGTGGGGAGCACATTGATGAGGGGCGTGGGCATGCACATGGGAAGTAGTGATGATGAGAAGCACGTGCATGCGTATGGGCAGGCAGCGATGAGGGGCGTGAGCATGCACATGGGGAGCATTGAGATGCCGTTCCCGGAGCCCATGTAGTGGGCGAGGGAGATGCATGAGTGCCACGTGAGTGGCATGAGAGTGCACTGCGCTGCCATGCCAGTGCATTGGGCAGCACCACTGTGCAAGCAGGCACGAGGAGCCGTCCGATTCGTACCTGCAGTGGCGTCGGTAGTGACCGGTGGCACGGGTGGGCAGCCGACAGAAAGCTGAGGCATGGTGGGCGAGGGCAGTACAGTGGATGCCTTCACAGCGGTGGGATCAGGCTGGCAGGGAACGGTGCTGCCACACAGCACGCCCGTGCCGTCAGCGCTGCCGCAGATCGCGTAGGAGGCACGCTGCACGGTGCCCGCGTTGTTGTTGGCCTTGCAGCCTGACGCGTCCTTGTAGCAGTTGGAGCGAGCAGAGCAGAGCACCCAGGTGGCGGAGGGGAAGATGCCGGTAAGATAGTTGTACTCTGTGTCCAAGACCTTGAGAGCCGTGCCTAGCACCGGCAGCGTGCCCGTCAGGTAGTTCCACCCCAAGCTCCTGCCGTGCACACACGAGGGGAGGTGCGGGGGAGAAGAAGCAAGAGTGGAGGGAAGGCTTGCGGGAGTGAGGGATGTGTGGTGGAAGAGGCAAAAAAGTAATGAGCTTTTAGCAAGAAGAGAGTGGTGAGCTTGAGTGGAGTCTAAAGCGGTGGGCTTACAGCAAGGTGAGGGCCTTGATGGTGGTGACGGCGGCCGGTACCGAGCCCGAGAAGAAGTTGAAACTCATGACTCTGTGGCTTGTGTTGGAGAGAGAAGAGGCGAAGGGGGAGAGAAGAGCGGAGGGTGGAGAGAAGATGCGAGGGTGGAGAGAAGTGGGGAGGGGAGAGAGAAGAGGGGGAAGGGGAGAGAAGAGGGGGAGGGGGAGAGACGCGGGGGAAGGGGAGAGAAGAGGAGGAGAGGGAGTGGAAGCCTCTCAAACAGCAGGTTAGGGATGCGGGTAGGCGGGCGAAAAGGGTGAATGCGAACGGCTACGAACACGCTTTGTGGGTTGGGAGCACCGGGAGAAGCAAGAGCGAGACGGGGGGCGCGGGTGGTGGGGGAACGTACATGGAGCCCAGAGTAGTGAGGCCGGTGAGCGGCAAGACGAACGGGTGCAGAGGACCTGAGAGGAAGTTGTTGGAGAGGTCGCTGTATGAGGGCAGAGGACAGGGGTGGGAGGGCCAAAGTGGGGAGTGGGCGGTATGTGGGGATGGGAGAGGGAGGGGGACGAGCCCGTGCTTAGCGCAACTGACTGCGGTGTGGCGAGAAGCAGAGGGATGAGCAGCAGTAGTGAAGAGCAGCAGAGAGGGAAGAGCAGCAGAGAGGCAAGAGCAGCAGAGAGGGAAGAGCAGCAGAGCGGCACTGACAGTGCGGTGAGGGCGGTGAACTTGGAGACGTGGGGGTGCATGATGCCGCGCATGAGGCGCTGCTTGAGGAACAGGTCCACCACGATGCCTTGCGGGCTGCAGTACACCCCGGACATGTCCTCGGGTCCCCTCAGCTGGTTGGTCACACAGCACAGTGTCTACACGCCCCACCCCTGGTGCAGCACTCCCAACGTCGTCTTGAGGTTTGCCAGAATTGACACTGCGAAGGGGAAGGTGCGCAGCGGGGTGCAGCAATGAAGAGAGGCGGAGAGAAGGGGAGTGGGCGTCAGAAGCTTCACATGGAGTTGGCAGAGCGCACAGTAAGCAGGGCAGCAAGAGAGAGGATGGAGCGGAAGTGGAGGCATAGGGAGGAGGCACAGGGAGGAGGAACAGGGAGGAGACACGGAGAGGAGGCAGAGGGAGGAGGCAGATGGGGGAGGCAAGGGACGCACGGCAGCGGTGGCGCTGTTGGGCGTCTTGGAGGGCAGCACCGAGTCTGTGTTGGCCGCACACACACCACCCCCGCATAGCACTGCGAACGCTGCCAGGCCGCAGGTTGTGCAGGCAGTGGAAGCGCGCTGCGTGGAGGAGCCCGAGGAGACACACTTGGAGGCGTCGACGAGGCAGATGTTGCGCGCATCACACATGGTCGTGGATGACGCTGGGAAGGTTCCGGCCAGGAAGTTGGAGGCGACGTTGAGCGTCTTGAGAGAACTGAACTCCCCATCCTCTGTATGCTCCCCAAGCATTAGTAACACACCATGCACATGGGCATGCATGCATGGCACACCATGTAAGGGGCGCAGCACTGACAGAGAGACGACTTGACCGGTGGTGTCACAGCCGACGCCCACCCAGCTGCTAGGCATGGCCGGGTTGTCTGCAATGTCGCACGGCAAGTCCACCAGCCAGTTGCTCTGTGTCACTCCCAGTGCCGCCCTCAGCACCAGCAGCGCTTGCGCTGCTCTCACACACCCCAGAGGGAAGAGGAGAAAGGAAGAGGTTAGAGAGGGGTGCGGGGCATAGGGAGGGTGGTGAAGAGAGAGTTGGGTGAAAGGGGCGAGACGCACTATGCATCGTGGTGTGCGTATGTGTGTCGTGGAGTGCGTGTGCACGCGCACGCATGTGTGATGCAGGCACCATATGCCATCTTACCAGCAGTGGCATCAATGGTGGCAGGCCCGCAGTAGAACGGCTGCAGGACGGCCGTGAGGTTGTTCACCGTGCCAGCCGCTAGGGGGGCGGACGCGTTCAGAATACACGCAATGCCACTGCACAGCGGCGGGGCGGCGTTGTTGGTGGCACAGATGGCACAGCCGGAGGTGCGCTGGGCGACGCCATTGGCGTTGGTGCAGGTGCCGGGGGAGGAGAAGCAGTTGCTGCGCATGTCACAGAACTGGAAGGCCTGCGAGGGGAAGGCGCCCGCCAGGAAGTTGTGGTTGACCGCCAGGTACTTGAGCTTGGTGGGCACTGCTGGCAGCGTGCCCGTCAGGTAGTTGCCACTCAGACGCCTGCATGGGCAGCAGGGGAGATGGATGGAGCTTGAGTGGACATACGAATGGATGGAAGACAGAACCATGCACAACCACACAACAGGAGAACAAATCGGTTGTGACATGCAGGAAAAGGGAGAGAGGACTGAGGGAAGGTGTGAGGCAGTTTGCATGGCACATACACCTGTTTCTTTGGTAGCTTGCTTGTGGTGCCATGGTTACAAGAGCCCACAGCCGCATGTGCATAGACCTTGTGGAAAACGAGCGTGATGGGTGGGCGCTACGTGATGGGTGGTGACTACATGTGAGTGGTGTGGTTGGCTCGGAACTGACATTTCTATGAGGGACGCCATGCTGAGCAGCGTGGAAGGCACGCTGTCATACAAGTAGTTGAAGTTGAGGTTCCTGGCAGGTTGGCCACAGCCACATGCAGGGAGGCACATTCAGAGAGGCACATTCAGGGAGGCACATTCAGGGAGGCACATGCAGGGAGGCACATGCAGGGAGGCACATGCAGAGAGGCACATGAAGGGAGGCACATGCAGGGAGGCACATGTAGGGGAAAAGGGGGTCGCATGGGTAAAAAGGTAGAAACACAGCGAGGGGAGAGCAGCACGAAGCAACACAAAGGCAGGTAGGTGAGTGGAGGGTGTGTGGCATGTTGGAAGAGAAGGGAGGGGAGGGTGTGTGGCACGTTAGAAGAGAAGGGAGGGGAGGGTGTGTGGCATGTTGGAACAGAAGGGAGGGAGGTTGCATGTGGAGGTGGGGGAGGCAAGAGGGGCCGCACAGGGTGGCAATGGCGGTGAGCGGCGTGATGTTGGAGACGAAGGTGGAGATGCGGCCGTACAGCAGGTTGTAGCCCAGATGCCTGTAGGGAGGAGGGGATGGGGAGGGGACTGGGTCTAAATCTTTCTAGACAAGGTCACGCTTCTTGCTAGTTCACGGGGAGAATTGGCAAGAGTTTCACTAGGAAAAGTTCAGAACAATGACACAATGAAGTTGGCATAGCAAGACTACATCAGAGCAAGCATTCAGGTCGGCCAACTGCCAGCGCTGCGCGGTTGACCGCGTTCCAGCACGACTTGGTCGACCGCGCTCCAGCAAGGCAAGATCGACGGCGTGCCAACATCGCAGGTTGACGGCGTGCCAGTGTTGCTTGCGAAGAACAGCAGTGCACCCGCTTCGCAGGTGCGTGCAGATGATTGGCTTGCAGAGTCTCGTCACCTGCACAGCACACACACCACGTCAACCTCGACCTCGGGATACCACCACCGAGGTCGGGCTCGCCAACTTCGCCTCGGCGACCATCGCACTCCTCCGCAGCACTTCGTCACCCAGGCAACCTGGTCGACCGGGCAACCACGTCGACCAGCAGCTCTCGTACGTGCCCGTCGACCTCCAAAGTCGACGACCATCTCCATCGGTCGACCTCCTCCACGTCGACATCCCTTCTGGTCGACCAGCTCCACGTCGACCAGTACTCCTGGTCGACCTGCTCCTCGTCGACCAGCAGAGTCGTCGGCCGACCGCCCACGTCGGCCACCCGAAGTTGGCGTCACGAAGTTGACGCCCCGCTACTCGACGCCCAACTGCTCGGCGTCCTGAGTCGAGGTCGACGTCGGCCCCTCCTTTGTCGACCACCAGGTCCAGTCGACCACCAACAGGTCGACCAGCAGTCCGTCAGCCGACCACCGAAGTCGGCCTTCCCAAGTTGACGTCACCAAGTTGACGTCCTCCGCATGTCGACTCCCGAGTCGACCTCCCCGAAGTTGGCGCCACCCTGAATTCGGCGCCCGTGCAGTGGTCCCCATGCAGGTCGACCTCCTCGTCAACCAGCTCGCCCACTGCTGCAGGTCGGCTGCTCCCCTCACACCCGACCACAATGCCGGCTCCGCCCAAGCGAGGTCGGGGCCAACACACAACTCCCGTTGACACTCCCCTGCCGCGTTCACGCTTGGGTCCCCAGCCCACACGACAATACTCCTCGGAGAAAAGCTCGTTGACGTGCACCCAACACACAGCACGCTGGTCACCGCACCAGCCATGCAAGAGGGCATGGCACCTACTGCTGCACGTCGTTGTCGCCGTCGCCCACGTCGGCCAAGCGCACCTGGCCGATTGCGACGGAGCACCGGTTGAAGGCCGGATAGTGCAGCACCTTCGTCAGGAAGTCGGCCGGCTGCTCAGCGGTTGGGATGTACTGCAGCGAGAACTTCCCGCGCTTCACCCTGTAGTGCAGCCAGGCCTGTCGCCGCTCCATGTGCTTGAGGTTGCCTATCAACCCCATGCCCTCGGCGACTGTGATGGCCGACTTGTTGTCCATGCGCAGGGCAGTCGGCTTCCCGACGTCCAGCTGCCGAAACTCGGCGAGGAGGAAGCGAAGGCGACGTCCCTACTTGCCAGCTTCAGTGGCCGCTACGTACTCCGACTCGGCCGACGACAGCGTCGCGCACTTGATGCGCTGGCTCGACCAGGAGTTTGCAGCCCCTCCGTAGACAAACACGTAGCCGCCCATGCTCGTCCTGTTTTGCTTGTTACCAGCGTCGTCGGCGTCCACGTAGCCGACCAGCTCCAGCGACTCAGGTCCACCGCCGAACTCCAGGGCGATGTCACGTGTGTTGGCGAGGTAGGCAAGGCAACGGTCGACCTCGCGCCAGTGCTGGTCGCTCCTCACCGTGAGGCCGCTCCCCAGCTTGCTGCAGGCAAAGCCGATGTCCGGCCTCGTCGTCGTTGCCGCAAACTGCAGCGAGCAGACCTTCTGCCGGTACTCCTCCTCTTGCCGTTCCTGCGCCTCCTCATCGTCGAAGGTGAGCTCTGCGTAGGCGCCGACGGAGACCGGTGTCTTCGGGTTGCGCCCGGTCTGCTCCTCGTCGATGAAGCGCCTACGCAGATTGTCGGCGTAGCCCTTCTGGTGCAGCCACAGCTTTCCCGCCGACCTATCGCGCACGATCTCCAGCCCGAGGTACTTCTGCACCGGCGAGATCTCGTGCAGCTCGAAGGCGGCTTCCAGCAGCTCCTTCAGTTCCTTCAGCATCGCGGCGCTGCTGCTGGTGGCAAGCAGGTCGTCGACGTAGACCAGTACCCAGCAGGCCACTCCACCCTCGCCGACCTTGAAGTAGAGAGCCTCGTCGACCTTGCTCTTCTTCCACCCGGCGCCGACCAGCACATCGTTGAGCGCCAAGTACCACAACAGCGGCGACTGCTTCAGCCCGTACAGGCTCTTCAGCAGCTTGCACACCCGGCCGGTTCCATCGTTGAAGTAGTCCGGCTGGGACATGTACAGCACCCGATCGTTCTTCATGTCGAGCTGCATCACGTTAAGGTCGAGGACGGCGACGATGCTGAGGAAGATCCTTAGCGTAACGTAGCTGCCCACCGGCGCGAACGTCTCGTCGTAGTCGGCGCCGTACACCTGTGTGAAGCCCTTCACGACCAGCCTCGCCTTCTCACGCTCGACGGTGTTGTCGACGTGGTACTTCGTCGTCAACACCCACCGGTTCTTCATGACGTTCACCCCCGGCGGGCGTTCCACCAGCTCCGAAGTCCCCATGTTGATGAGGCTGCGAATCTCCTCCTCCATGGCGGCCTTCACCGCCGGGCCCTTCCAGCTTGCCAACGCCTCTTTCACCGTCATCGTCGAGATGTCCCAACGGCGCTCGTGGTCGGCTAGCATGTCGGGGTCGAGCTCCGGAAACTCCTCATCTTCCTCGGCGTCGTCGTACAGCAGGTCATCGTCATCGTCCACGTCATACACCGTGGTGAAGGCAGCGGGGACGAAGAAGTCAGGCGGCCTCCGAAGTCGACCTGAACGCCGTGGTCCCGGCTGGACCTCCTCAGCGTACCCTCCATCGTCGCTGTCGTCGCTGCTCTCAGCGTCCTGCTACTCCTCAGCCGGCGTCCCAGCCGACTGCTCCCCTGTGGTTGGCGTCCCAGCCGACTTCTCCCCCGTGGTCGGCTCTCCTGCCGACGACCCGATCGCCGACTGCTCCTTGGTCAGCTTCATGGCTGCCTGCTCCTTTGCCGGCCGCTGCTCCTCGACCTGCTCCTCTCCTGTCGACTGCAATCCCACGTCGATTTGCCGCTCGTCACGTCGGCCACCGGCGATGCACTTGGCCAGCGCCGAAGGCGGCGTCCCACTACTCCCCTCATCGCCGGAGGCCGACACCGAGGTCAGCCCACGCAGGTCGGCCACCAGGGGAGGGGCAAGGGTCGGAGGGGGAGGGGTAGGAGGGCGGACGTCCTCGACGTCCTCAGTAGCAAGCTCACCGACCTCGGCAAGCAGCGGCAGTGTTGCCGACGAGGTGTTAGAGGGCGGGGTGGACGACGAGCAGCCAGGCACCGGCCCACGCTCCTTCTTCCACTCGGCCATCAACATCTCCTCGTAGAACACCACGTCCGATGTGGTGACCACCAGGTTGGTGTCGATGTCGAGGAGCTCCCAGCCCTTGCTCACCGCCGACACGCCAAGGTGCAGGCCCCACCTGGCCTTCGGCTTCAGCTTCCCACCACGCTGCTGCTCAGGGACAAGGAACTGCGCCATGCAGCCCCACACCCGCGCCAGCGACAAGTCGGGCTTCTTCCTGGTCAGCAGCTGGTACGACGTCGTCCCCGGCGGCAGCGCCGACCTCTCAAGGCAGTTGCGGACCCAGACGGCCTGCCGGAGAGCGAGGTGCCACCAGTGGTGCTGCACGCCCATGTGCAGCAGCATTGTCTGCACCGACTCCACCACCGTCCTCATCTCCCGCTCCGCCATGCCATTCTGCTGCGGGGTGTATGGGCAGGTCAGGTCGTGGACGACCCCCTTGCCGCTCACGAAGTCGGTGAACTGCTTCCCGAGGAACTCCCCTCCTCGGTCAGAGCGCAGCATCAACACCGACTTCTTCATCTGCCGCTCAGCCACCGCGAGCCACTGCACAAATGCCGGCAATGCATCTGACTTCTTGGCGACCGGCTTCACCCACACGTAGCGGGTCTTGAGGTCCTTCAGCAGCAAGAAGTACAGGCTGCCATCCTTGGCAGCCACGCGGAACGGCCCGCACAGGTCGATGTGCACAACAGCTAGCACGTCGTCGGCGTCGGAGCCATGGTCGGGGAAGGTGTGCCGCGCTAGTTTCCCGCCGACGCACGAGACACACGGGGAGTCGGCATCCGTCGCCGACTTGAGGTCCAGCCCAATGGCGACCTCGTTCTTCGCCGAGCTCCGTATGGTGTCCATGCCGACATATGCAAGCCGCGCATGCATCCGGTCCGGCGTCGACTTCGTCTTCGAGAAAATCGCCCTCAAAGCCACAACCTCCGTCGTGGGCGACGTCGACTTCCTTGAGCAGGGACGCAGGTCGGTGCAGAGGATACGCCCGGAGTACTAAGCCCGACCGAGCACCACTCCGGCTGCAGAGACGAGCATCATTCTTTCTCCGTCCTCCTGCAGCTTCATGCCGTGCTCCTTCAGCTGGCCGGCGGAAAGCAGGTTTGCCCGCACACCCGGAACGTACAGCACGTCAGGGATGAGGACCTCCTTCCCGGCCTCCCCTTGCAGAGCGACGGTGCCGCGGCCCTGGACATCCTGCAGCGCCCCATTGAAGTCGCGCACATGCCTGATGGCGTCGCTCGGCTGCAGGTCGACGAAGGCTTCCTTCGTCCCCATCAGGTGGTGGGAGCAACCGCTGTCGAGCAGGACCACCGCCGGGTTCGCCTGCACAGCTGCCGCCACCGCCTGGAAGTCCTCTCCGGCCTCCGGAGCCAGAGAGATGGTCGGCTCCACGACGCTGACCAGCGAGCACGACGCCGTCTTGTCGTCTTGCCCCTTGCCGCCTGCAGCAGAGTCGGCGTCCTTTGCCAAAGTCGATGTCTTGGTTGACTGCATCTCCTTGTGCGGCTGGTTTCCTCCACGACGAGGGCGACGGCTACTAGACCTCCCACGGCCTCCCTTAGCGTTGTCGTCGTCGGAGTCACTGCGGTCGGGACACTCGAAGGAGAGATGGTTGGGGTCGCCGCATAGCCAGCACTCCCGTCGTCGACCTCCTCCTCCCCGACCGCTGTCCTTGGTCGACCTCTTCTTGTCGACCTCCTTGGTCGACTTCCAGCCACCGCTCCCACCACCACCGGACTTTTCGAGCAGTCCTGGTCAGCCTCCTTGCTTCGCCGGGGCGACGAAGTTGGCCTGCGCCAAGAGTTCCTGTGACCGCTCAGCCTCCTGCATCGCCTCGTCCTGCAGGATGTACGAGGTCAAGTTGTCCTCGTTGAGCATCGCCCTCGTGCTCGGCGCCATAGACAGCCGCTTCAGGAGGTTATAGCTGCTAGGAAGTCCCTGCATGACATGGGTGATGTATGACGCCATGGAGTACTGCGCGCCGGCCATCCTGATAGTGGCGAGAATTTGCCGGGCTCGATTGCAGTAGTCAGTCGCTGTCTCCTCGTCACCCATCCGCAGGTGCGTCAGCTGTCCCTCCAGCTGGGTGATGAACAGGTCGTCGGTGACCTGGTACGTCGACTCAACAAAGTGCCACGCCCGGTGGCCGGCGTCGATGTACTCCCGACACCACTTTAAGACACCATGTGTGACTGAGTCAGGGTGATGGTGCGGCGTGCTCTCTCCCGGGTGATCTGCAAGCCAAGGTAGCTGCGCAGTTCACCCAGGTCTGTGCCCGTGTGTCTCTTCTGCAGCTCGGACTTCACGTGGGCGAGTCCAACAGTGTCAGCTGTGGCAAAGACCAAGTCGTCGACGTACACGAGGATGTAGAACGGCGGCAGAGAAGTGTCGGTGCGTAGAAACAACGATGGGTCAGCAGTGGAGGGAGCAAACCCAAGAGCCGCAAGTGTAGTCCTCAGTGTGTCGTGCCACTCACGCGGTGCCTGGCGGAGACCGTAGACCGGCCGCCGAAGGCTCCACTGGGTGCCTAGAGGAAAAGTCCCAGTGAAGCCAAGAGGGCGGCGAAGCCAGATCTCCTCGTGCAGGCTGCCCTGCAGGAAAGCAGTGCTGAAGTCAAAAGAGTGTAGCTCATAGTCACGGTGAGCAGCTACGTGCAGCAGTACCCGAAGAGTGGTCATCTTTGGGGTGGGAGAGAAGGTCTAAAAGTAGTCAACTCCCTGCCGCTGACTGAAACCACGAGCCACGTAACGCGCCTTGAAGACAGGCGGAGAACCCAGCGGTCGCTTCACCCTGAAAATCCACATGCCACTGACGATGTTCGCCCCAGGAGGGGGGACAGCGTCAACGTAGGTGCCTGTGGACTTCCAGGAAGCCATCTCTGCATCCATAGCTGCCTGCCACTGAGAAGAGTTGGGACCCTCTATCGCCTCCGCATAAGAGCGCGGAGTCGGGATGTCAAGTGCATCCGGGTCTCCCTCAGGGGCAAGCAGTACGGACACGAGATGAGGTGAAGCAGCGGCCAAGCACTGGAACTCCTCCTGCCTGTCCTCAAGGACGTCCGTGCCAAGGGCACCCTCACCCCTGACGGACGGAGGACAGACAGACTCAGACTCAGCGACAAGACTAGCAGCGTAGTCTAGGCGACAGCGAGCAGCAAAGTCGATGAGCTCAGCAACTAGGGCAGACGCAGCAGTGGACTCAAAGGAAGGATCAGTGACAGCAGTAGCAAGGAGACGCGTGACAGTAGGACTGGCAGCACGAAGGGAGTCAGACCCCAGGTCAGCAACAGCAGGAAGAGAGGACGCAGGAGGAGACTGCAGTGGGACACGCTGTGGAGCAGTGGAAGGACGAAGCGCCATCCGGTGAGTGCCCGGGACAACAGGAAGACGCTGACTAGGGACACGACCACCAGTGAGAGCAGCACGGACAAGCGACGCACGGCGAGACTCAGGCGACGCAGGACGAGACTCAGGCTCACGACGCTCAGTAAGACCACCAGTCGGACCAGTGTAAGGAGCAGGACCAGGGAGAGAGGAGGCAGACGGAGGACAAGGAGGAGGAAGCTAACCAAGAACCTGCTGAAGGAGCGGAACAAAGTACGGCCGCTGCCGTGCAGTGACTCCAGAACCAGCAGAGACACCAGCGCCAGGGTCCTCAGCTCCAGCAGCAGCTCTAACGCCCGGGTCCGCAGCACCAGCAGCAGCTCCAACGCCCGGGTCCGCAGCACCAGCAGCAGCTCCAACACCCGGGTCTGCAGCACCAGCAGCAGCTCCAACGCCCGGGTCCGCAGCACCAGCAGCAGCTCCAACGCCCCGGTCCGCAGCACCAGCAGCAGCTCCAACGCCCGGGTCCGCAGCACCAGCAGCAACTCCAACGCCCGGGTCCGCAGCACCAGCAGCAGCTCCAACGCCCGGGTCCGCAGCACCAGCAGCAGCTCCAACGATCGGGTCCGCAGCACCAGCAGCAGCTCCAACGCCTGGGTTCGCAGCACCAGCAGCAGCTCCAACGCCCGGGTTTGCAGCACCAACAGGAGCGGAGTCCGGGACACCAGGCGCGCCACTCCGAATCGTGCAGCGCCGCTCGTACCACTCACGGATCTGCTTACGGGAGGGGAGCTCCCGACTAGGAAGAGAAGCACCAGCACCAGTCCCTGTAGTACGCCTGGCTCCAGAGGTACCTCTCCGGACGCTGCAGTACTGTAAGTACCACTCACACAGCTGCTCCAAGGAGAGGCCTCCTCCAGGTGTAGGACCCTCCGGCCCAGCACCTCCAGACTCAGAACCCCCTGACACCGGACGCTGCGGCTCAGCACCCCCAGGCTCAGCACCCCCAGGCTCAGCACCCCCAGGCTCAGCACCCGCAGGCTCAGCACCCCCAGGCTCAGCACCCCCAGGCTCAGCACCCCCAGGCGCCGCACCCCCAGGCTCAGCACCCCCAGTCTCCGCACCCCCAGGCTCCGCACCCCCAGCAGGACGAGAGTCGACAGCAACCTCAACAGGCTCAGCCGGGTCTACCTGAGACACACCAGAGGGAGCGGCACCCTGAGGGTGGAGGGGGTCTACGACAGCAGCACCTGGCGCGAGGAAGAGAGGCGGGGGGGGGGGGGGGAGCGGGGCAGTGCCGTAGGGGAAGAGGCGGTAGTAGGGGACGGACTCGTCAAAAGTGACGTCCTGAGAGGGCAAGACCCGGCGCGAGGTGGCGTGGTAAAACTGCCAACCAGGCGCGTCCGGGACAAAGCAGAGGAAGACGCAAGGAACAGCATGGGAGGAGAGCTTGTCCGCAGATGTATCGCGGACAAAAGCTCGAGATCCCCAGACCCGGAAACGCGACGCATCGCCAACCTCCCCCGTCCACAGCAGTGTGGGCAAGGTCTCCGGCAAGGAGACACGGGGCCAGAGGTTGAGCTGATGCGCAGCGTACCGGACCGCAAACGGCCACAGAAAGTGGGGGGCAGCCGCATGGATCAAGGAGGTACGGGCGACCTCCATGACCAGGCCAATGCGGCGCTCCGCAACCCCATTCTGCTGTGGAGAGGCCGGAAGCGTGAACGACTGCTCAATGCCGTGCTCAGCACAGTAGGCTGCCAAGAGGTCGGAGGAGAACTCACCACCTCTGTCAGAGTGCAAGCGCAGGACACGAAAGTCCGAGCGGAAACGCTCGCTGAGCTGGAGACGGGCTCTGCGGATCCAAGGGATCAAGACATCAGGGACCTCACCCTTGGTGCGCAAGGGGAAGACCGAGGTGTAGCGCGAGTAGTCATCAACAACTATCAGGAAGTACCTCTCCTGACCCTGACCACGGACGCGGGCTGGGCCCCACACGTCCATGTGGAGCGTCTGCAAAGGAGCAGTCGTGGGGGGAAACGAGGAGGAGTGAGGAGCGGCGCGCTGCCGCCCCTCGACAAAGGGAAGACAGGGAGGAGCAGGGGAGGGTGGGAGAAGAGGGAGGACCCTGGGAAGACTAGAGACAAGGTACCGGGAGAGCATGGCACGAAGGCGCTGCACAGACGGGTGGCCAAGTCGGTGGTGCCAGATGACAGTCTCGTGCGCTAGAGAGCGACACGAGCAGGGGGCAGACAGCAGACATGACGCGGACGCAGACGCAGACGCAGTGACCTGACGGGACGCGGTAGTCAGTGTGTACAGGTCCGACCCCGGCTGCCGAGTGAAGGTAGCCAAGTGGCGGCCCGTACGAGCACACGTGCAATGTGTCACACGCTCGTAGGCAGGGGTGAACTGGTGAACACCCCCGTCCTGGAGTGCACAACCTGCCACCAAGTTCGTAGAGAACGAGGGGAGGTGGAGACCTGACAGTGTGCCCGGCGGGACCGCAGGACAGGGAAGGACAGTGGAGGAGGTCGCAATGACCGGACCCCCAGAGGGGTCAGCGAGGGAGACAGCAACTGGCCGAGCAAGTGGCTCAAGGGCAGTGCGGTCACGAAAGAAGCAGCGAGAGGCACCTGAGTCCAGTGTGAAGGTGTGCAGTGCTGTAGTCGACTCAGTACTAGGGGGGGCAGACGCACAAGCACCTAGAGCAGCTGCCTCACCAGCACCTGGGATAGCAGACACGCGGGTTCCTGGAGCGGCAGACGCACTAGTCCTAATGCCCGGGTCGGGCGGGATACACAGGTACTCAGCACCCTCTCCACTAGTAGACATCACATACATAGCAGTGAGAATAGCATCAAAGTCTAGAGCATAGATATCAATCCCCTTCTTCAGGAGATCAATCCAGCGGGGCAGCTCAGTGGCCTGAGGGAACTGAACACGCCAAGCGTCGTTGAGACGAGCGAAGCAACGCTGTGTGGCGTGCGGTCCCCCACACGGCTGGCCAGTGCGGTCACCAGTGCGAATGACGTACGTGCAGCTAAGGCCAACCCCCCCCTCCCCCCCTCCGTGCTGAGAGTACCACTCACGGACCTCCTGGGGCGACGGAGTGTGCTGCTGGCCCTGGCCACCGCCAGCGCCTCCACGACTACCACCGCCGCCACCACCTCCTCGACCACCCCAACCCCTGCCGCCGCCGCGTCCACCGCCACCCCCACCACCTCCTCCGCCCCGGCCACCTCCCCCGCCGCTGCCGCCAACCCCCCCACCGCTGCCACCTGCCCCTCCAGTCGCGCCACCACCCCCACCACCACCATCTCCCCCACCACCGCCTCCCCCGCTGTCACCGCCACCGCCCTTGCCCCCTTTGCCCTTGCCGCTGCGGCGCCCGCTCGAAGCAGACGCAGTCCCGACCTTCTCAGCACCAAGGAGGTCGACAGCAGCAGCAGAGGCGACAGAGGGAAGAAGGGGGGAGGGAGAACACCCCTCAAAGAACGGGGTACGGGGGTCGCCATGAGAGGCACCTACAGCGACTATGCTAGCCTCAGCTGCAAGGAGTTCCTTCTCGAGGAGGGCAATGGTGAGCTCAGTGGGGCAGCGAGCTAGGAAGTGGTCCCTGACTGAGCACAGAGTGTCAGGGAGGCGCGTGACTAGGTGGTAGAGAGTGAGCCAGAGCGGGGGTGGGTTCGTGGCAAGGAACTCATTAGGCATAGCGGCGCGGAAGCGAGCCTCACTAGTGCGGAGGTGTGTAATGAGGTCAGCGTCTGTGTTGAAAGAGGCTAAGTCGGGGAACAGGTAGGGAAGAGAGAGACGGCCTAGTGCGGCAGAGGCCGGTGAGGAGTAGCGGGCAACGACAGCAGTGTACAGTGCCTGCGCAGTCTTGTGCTGCCCAAAGTGCTCGCGCTCATCTATCGGCAGAGAGTTGCGAATAGCGAAGCGAGCGTGGGCGTCACGAGTCTGCCACTGTGAGCGGGCAGTGCTGTCAGCAGTAGCAGCAGGAGCAGTAGCGTGGCCTAGGGCGTGATCGTACAGTGAGATGTCTTCCTTGGCAGTGAGCTGTAGAAAGAGGTGTAGGTCATCAAGCCAGGTTTCGAACTTCACTGGGCGGCCCTCAGCATTGAAAGCTAGCACAGGAGGGCTAGCCATAGCAGTAGTAAGAGTAATAGTAGCAGCAGTAGGAAAAGCAGTAGGGGCACCCCAAGGACAGGTAGGGCGGCTCGGTACAGGTAGGGCGGCGCGGCTTGGTAAGGGCGGCGCGTCTCGGTACAGGTAGGGCGGCTCGGCTAGGTAAGGGCGGCGCGGCTAGGTTCGGGCGGCGCGGCTCAGTTTGGGCTGGGCGGCTCGGTTCGGGCAGCTCGGTTCGGACTGGGCGGCTCGGTTCGAGCTGCTCGGTTCGGGCAGCTCGTTCTGGGTGGGGCTGTTCGGGGCCTCTAGGGGCGAGCGCGGGGGGCCGATCAGGGCCTCTAGGGACGAGCGCAGGGCCGATCGGGGCCGATCAGGGCCTCTAAGGGCGGGCGCGGGGCCGTACGGGGCCGCTAAGGGCTAGCGCGGGGCCAATCGGGGGCCTCTAAGGGCGAGCGCGGGGCCGTAATGGGCGTCTAGGGGTCGTTCGGGGCCTCTAGGGAGGTGAGCGCGGGGCCGACGGGGCCTCTAGGGGCGATCGCGGGGCCGAAAGGGGCTGCTAGGGGCGAGCGCTTGGGCCGTTCGGGGCCTCTAGGGGCGGGCCGACGGGGCCTTAAAGGGCCGTGAAACCCGAGGCGCCCTAGGGCGCAGGTAGGTAGGTAGGTAGGTAGTGGTGGGCCCTAAAAATCGGTCCTAGGAAGGACCTGCTCTATACCATGTTGAAATCAATGAACAGGAATGGGTGAACTAACAGTGAAATGAGTACAAGTACCAAACCCTAGAATTGTGTACCCCCTATAGGCTAACCCACTGTAGCCTAAAGAACCACAACATATATAATGTTTGACAGGAAAGGAAGGAGAGAGTGGGGCGAGGGTATTACAGGAAGGAGAGGGCTGGCATGTTGACGAGCGTGGTTGGGATGGTGCCGTAGAACCAATTGAAGTTGATGTGGCTGGTGGCGGGTTGGGGGATGTGGGATGACGGAGCACATACACACAACTCATACGCACATGCACATGCATAGACATGAACAGCCATGCATAGCACACGCACGTGCACATGCGGGTGTATTGTTAGCATGCAAAGATTCAATCTGCTGGGCTGGGGTGCACTGGAGAGAGAGCAAAAATGAAGTGAAGGAGGAGCACGAGAGTAGAGGCCAGGGGTAATAAGAGATAATGCAGGGAGGAAGGGAGGGGGGGGGGGGGGGTGGGGAGGGGGGGGGGGGGGGGGGGTGGATAATGGAGGGGCGGAGGCATGGTGGCACTGACAGCTCCTTAAGGGTGGCGGCGGGTGTGATGGGCAAGATGTAGGAGTCGAGGCGGTTGAAGAAGAGGTTGGACGTCAGACGCCTGCATGCACGGCCAAGGGGGGTGGAGGGCGTGGAGGAAGGGGTATGGGTGGTGAAGGCGACAAACAAGTTGACAAGAGCGGGTGGGCGTGTGTTTCCATGCGGTGACAGCGAGGCTGACAAGTCTGTTGGTGCAAGCAACACAGCTGGTGGCATGGAATATGATGAATGGATGGATGACAGTGCAGTGACGGGGTGACTTACAGCGAGGTGAGAGTGGAGAGCTTGCTTATGTCGGAGTGCACCGTGCCACTCAACAGCTGGCTCCTCAGGTCCCTGCATACCACGTCCTAGGCAGCACCAGAGGCACACACAGCAGCAGCCAGGGTAGAGAAGGACAGGGGAAAGAGATCAGCGAGGGACGCTTGGGAGAAGCACCCGCGGCACACAAGCAAAGTAAGGTGGAGGACGAAAGGAAAGAGGGTGAGCAGTGCACGCCACATGATTGTATTTTGGTTTGAGACGTCTCAAAACAGATTTACATTCAGGTCAGCAGGAGAGGCAGCACTCAGAGAGCAAGGATTTGGCCGAGCGGTGAGCAGCGCACGCCAGTCCAAGATCCAGTGATGGGCGTCTGGCCCACGAGGGTGCACGACCCCACGGCCTTCCAATCGTACAGCAGCCCCGACCCCCTCCCTTGCACCCCCCGCCTTGGGCTTCGTGGAGGTGGCCTTGGGGGCGGCAAGCGTGGTGGTGGTCCAGTCCGAGAAGGTGACGCCGAGAGTGGACTTGAGCGCCAGCGGGATGTTGCCCTGTGTGGCATCCAGTGGCACGCCCACACAGAAGCGCGGCAGCACGACCGCCGTGGCGCTGTTGGGCGTGCTGGTCACGAGAGGCGCAGCGATGTTGGGCGCACACGTGCCGCCGCCACACACAGTGCCCGAGCCATCGGCGGTGTCGCAGACAGCGGAGGCAGCGACTGCATGCTACACGGTTCCGAGCGTGGTGCAAGCGCCGCTGGTGGCGAGGCAGTTGCTGGTGGCGGAGCAGGAGGAGAAGCCGGTGTCGAGGAACGTGCCCGACAGCTAGTTGCCATCCAGCGTGATGGTCTTGAGGGTCGCGCCTGGGGTGGGCATGGCGCCGTACAGGTAGTTGTAGCTCGCAAAGTTGTTGGAGAGAGGGTGGGTGGGGAAGAGGGGTGCGCGTGAGGCGTGTGAGTGGAAATAGGGAGCTCCAACGAATGGGAGTCACGAGTGGAAGAGACTCACATTGGAATCAGACTCAAACGTGGGAGAGACTCACACGGACAAAAGACTTGAAGGGAGGGGAGGGTAAGAAGGAAAGACTCACAGGGTGGAGAGGGTGGCGATGCCCACGAGGGTGGACGAGATGGGCCCTGTGAACCAGTTGAAGTCCAGGTACCTGCATGGGGACGCGGCGGAGAGAATCCAGGGGAAACATGGAAGAAGGTAGGGTGGGTGGGAAAGAAAGAGGCATGAGATAATTCAGAATGTGAAACGGCACGAGGAGATGGCATGGTGAGGCTGCTACAAATGTTCGAGGCAAGGCAAGCCAATGTGATGCTCCCATGCAGCTGTCACTCACACTTCTTTGAGCAACGTGAGCGCCTTGAAGTTGACAGCAAAGACGTCCAGCTGACCCTCCAGGAAGTTGGACCGCAGATTACTGAGACGTTGGCAGGGCGGACGCACATAGCAAAAGAGTAGAGAGAGGTATGAGAGGTGAAAGCCGCGAACGAGACGAGCCAGGTAGCTGAACCAGGAGAGAACAGACAGACTGCGAAGTGCAGCGGGCAAAGGTTCAGCACGGTGTGTGGGGAGGGGGCAGTGGGTGGAGCACTATATGGTCACTGCATAGGTATAGTTGGTCAAATTGTTGTGGGGAGAGGGAGTGAGCCAGGCGAGAAAAGGGGGTGAGAGCAAGACAGGGCAACATAGAGAGAAAGTGGAAGGCAAACGAGAAGTGCATGACTTCAATGCACGTGCGGGCGCCTACATGTAGGTGAGGGCAGGGAGCTTGGAGATGTCTGCATGCATGGTCCCTTGGAGCCTCTGCTGCGCCAGATTGCTGCACGTTGCCAACAGCCCACACACACACGCAAACACACACAGGGAGCAGCACATTTACGGAGTGAAGAGATCGTCACATAGACAAGCAAACAGCTCTGCTAGCAAGCACCAACAAGCCACGGGTCATGAATGGCGCCCTAGGAGGCAGCCTGGCCAAGAGGCACGCAGCCCAGCCAAGGGGCAACCTCAGCAACAGCACTTTGGCCTGAGAGGCACTCACAGCAAGATGACTTTGCCGGAGACGTTGCAGACGACGTTGGACCAGGTGCCTGCAAGTGGCGGCAGCCCCTGGATGGTGCAGGGCACGTCAAGCGCCCATTCCGTGAACGTCACTCCCAGCGATGCCTTCATGTTCAGCAGCGCCGCCCCTGGTGGGGGGAGGGGCGCACAAGAAAGAGATGGCAGGAGGAGAGAAGAGCAGGGGGCGGAGGCGGACACAGCAGGGGTGGTTGAGCATGCAGTAGTGCTGAATCAATCCACACGGCATAACGCGGGGGCTGCAAGCATGTAGTATACACACACTCCACCCCTCAAGCGTGCACTCTCCACTCCACACACACCCCACCACCGCACTCACCCATCACAGGCTTGTGGCACACTCACCCATGACCTGGTGTAAGGACACTCACGTACCCCAGCACTCCACTCACCCATGACAGGGTCCATGGACGTGCCCAGGCAGTACATGGCCGCCGTGCCCGTGTTGACCATGCTGGCAGCGATCAGCATCGTGGCGTTGGGCGTGCAGATGCCGCCGCCGCACATCCTGCCTGTGGCATCGGGCATCTCGCAGACAGCGCAACCCCATGAGGCGCGCTGTGCCGTGCCGCTGGGGCACTTGGAGGCGTCCTGCAGGCAATTGGTGGCGCAGCTGCAGAAGGTGGCAGTGGTGGTGAGGAAGGTGCCCACCAGGTAGTTGCTCGACAGGTCGATCACCTTCAGGGTCGCTGGCAGGGCTGCCGGCATGCTGCCTGTGAGGTAGTTCAGGTTCAACCACCTGCGTTGCCATGCCCCAGCAGTGGCCAGCGGTGGACAGCGGTGGACAGTTGTGGACAGCGGTATTCAGGATGCGGGGGACGCAGACAATAGGGGCGGGGAATAAGGGGAGAAGAGATGGGGAAACAAGGAGTTAACGTGAGCGGTTAATGGTGCGGCATGAAGGGATAACGATGTGTTGAGGGTTGACAGTGTCGTGATGGTGAAGGACGAATGTTGGGTTTAGGGTAGTGAGCACAGGGGCTTACAGTTCTGTGAGGGCAGAGAGGGCGGAGATGCAGGCTGGGAAGGAGCCTGAGAAGTAGTTCTGGTGAAGTTGCCTGCGGTTCATTGGCAGGCAGGGGGACGACAGGGGTGCCGGCAGAGAGGGGTGATGGTGGTGCAGACAGAAAGGGGGGTGATGAGATTTCAAGCAGAGAGAAGCTGGAGTGAGCGCAAGCAGGCAGGCAGGCAGGCAGGCAGAGTGGCTGCGAAAGAGAGGTGAAACAGGGGACATGAAATGCTTGTAGAGTGCGGGGTTAGCTTAGCTTACAGGGAGAGGAGGGACTTGAGGGGAATAAAGGGTGCGAGGAAGGTGTCTAGGCGGTTATTGAAGAGGTTGACCGACAAATCCCTGCCACCCGGCACCGCAGCACACATACAGGCTCGTTGGTGTCATTCGAGCAGTTAGACATTTGAGAGGAACGCATGGCACGGGCATAGATGGAATTGAAGTGGCGTGTGACGGAAACAGTGTGGTGTGTGACGGAAATAGTGTGGTGTGTGACGGAAACAGTGTTGTGTGTGACGGAAACAGTGTGGTGTGTGACGAAAACAGTGTGGTGTGTGACGAAAACAGTGTGGTGTGTGACACAAACAGTGTGGTGTGTGACGGGAAGAGGGTGGCGCAGTGAGCTTACAGCTTGGTGAGTGCGGAGAGCTTGGAGGAGTCCGTGGGGAAGAATCCATTTGCTTTGACTCCCGAAAGAACACTATGAGACACACCATGGCACACATAGGAGGAGCCCATGCCACGTAGCATACATACACAGGAGGGAAACATGAAGAACATAGGAGCGACAAGACGTCACACATACATGCGATGATGAGCATGCACGATGGAATACCCCATCTGTGATGGGCCATGCACGAGGCATGGGCCAAGCATGAGGTATGGGGCATGCATGAGGTATGGGGCATGCATGAGGCATGGGGCATGCATGTGCATCCACGGGGCATGGAGCATGCGTGGGACATGAGGCTTGCATGGGCATCCATGGGGCATGGGGCATGCATGGGGCATAAGGCTTGCATGAACATGCACCCCCATCACATCACAAGCATGCACGTCTGAAGGGAGCTGACAGGGTTTTTGTAGGCAAAGGCGGGCGAGGCGAATAGAGGGTTGCAAAAGAGCAGGCAGGGATAGCAGGGGGGATGTTGAGAATTCTACAGAATCATCACGAGAAGTGGGGCGGCGTACATGTCGAGGACCATGCCGGCGGGGTTGTAGAAGACCAGGGGCAGGGTGCCAGGTATAGATGCCTGCCCTGCTATGGTGCACGTTGGCTGGGTCCACAGCCCCGATGCCATCGCCACCAGCGCCGCCGCTGCAACATACGGTGCGGAGAGGGGAGGCGATGAGGACTTGTGCATGCGGGGCAAGCCGTGCATGAAGGTGCAGTGCAAGGTGTGCTTGAGGTTGCCAATTTCTTAGGCGCTTCAAAAAGAGGGGAGGTGACCAGGAATTGTGAGTGAGGGGGCAAGTGATGCATGAAGCATGAACGTTCATACGTGCTGCTGCCGTGCTCAATCAATACGAACATGCCTTGACTGGTTGTCCCGCACATCTCTCCCTGCAGGCGTCTCAATAACAACTGGTTCGTGGGCTCCCTGCCTCAGGCGCTCATGTCGCTTCCCGCCCTCACGCTGCTGTAAGGATCCACAAGAACTAACCACACACCGAATCTTGCAACAGCCAGCCATTCCTAGCACCACAACCCAGAAAATACGACTGCACAAACTCGCCACAACCACACCACACATCAGGCATTCATCCACGATCTTCTCCCCTCTCCCTTGCCCCCCTCCCCCAAAGTATTCTATCCACCACTTGTTAAATCTCCTACTTTCCTCTTCCTCTCCCCCGACCAACCTCTCCCCCGCCCTTTCTTCTCTTCCTCCCTCCCCTCTCCTCATCCCCCCACCCGGCAAGGACGTGCATGCGAGCGCATTGACGGGGTCGCTGCCCACCGTGTCCTCCACCCTGCAAGCACTCTTCCTGCATGACAATTTCCTTGCCGGCACCTTCGCCCCCATCGCTGCCTTCACAGCGTGTGACTCCAGCCTCAACTGCATGACCAGTTCCGCCGCCTGTGGCGCCAGTAGCACCACGCAGAGGGCTGCTGTTGCCTGCGCCATCTGCGGCAGTGCGGCAGCACAAGGGCTGCTGTGCTGGGGCGGCATGTGTATGCCCACCGTTACCGCCACCACCGCCCATCCGGATAGGCTCGCCCCTCCGGTCATGGCCTGCTCTGGTGCGCACACCACCTCCTTCCCCCTGCACGTTTCTTCATCATCCTCCCCCACGCACGTCTCTTCGTGGCCCATCTCCATCTCCCTGCACGTCTCTTCATGGCCCTCCCCCTTGCAGTATGGAGGGGAGACTTGCTTCACGGTTTTTTCTTGTTCCTTCTCTTTCCCACGCTCTCTGCTCGCTGCTGCCTGCTCGTTCCTGAACTCACTCTCCTCTCCTCTCCTATGGATGTCCCTAAGTGTCCCTTAATGCCTTTCAACGCCTCTGAATATCTTTGAATGCCTTTGAATGGGTCTAAATGCGTCTGAATGCGTCTGAATGCGTCTGAATGCCTCTGAATGCCTCTGAATGCCTCTGAATGCGTATGAATGCTTCCGAATGCCTTTGTGGTGCAGGATCTCCTGTGGTCAATATGAGCTCCGTTGATGGTGAGAGCACATTCGGCATGCATGTCAATCCACTCCCTGCATGCATCTCACCCCTGTGTGCATGCCACTCCCTGCATGCATGTCACTCCCTGCATGCCTTCCATTCGCTCTTTGCGCGTCACAACCTACATGCATATCACTCCCATGCCATTTCTTTACACCCATGTCGTTCCCCATACACACATAATAACGCTCCCTCTGCGGAGATAACTGCAGCAACGGGAGCTAGACTACAGGCTAGGCACGGGTGCTCGTGTGATCTCTGCGTTCCTTAGTCGTTTGCTTGTGTGTTCTCTGCTTGCACATTCACGGGGGGGGTTTTGCAAGAGTTTTACTAGCAGAGATTGACAACAATGTGTTAGAAAGAACATTGGCAACACAGACTACATCAGAGCTAGCTAGGCTATTGGTCGACCTCCAGCGCAGCACGGTCGATCGCGCTCCAGCGCAGCAGAACTCGCACTGCTCCAGCGTTGCAAAGTAGCGGTTCGCCAACGTTCCAAGTCCACGGTGTGCCAACGCTGCAGCAAGTCGGCTGCACAGCGTTGCACCCGCTGGACAACGGTGCACCTGCTTCGCAGATGCGTGCAGCTGGTTGGTGCGCGACTCCTTATTACGTGCACAGCGTAGACGCCTGGCAGACTCCACGTCAGCGACTGCGCCCACCAGCCACATCGACCTCGGGATACCACCCCCGAGGTTGGCCCCGCAGACTCCACCCCGGCGACATTCACGCACGTCGCCCGGGTATCCCGGTCGACCGGGCAACTGCGCCCGGTCGACTAGCACAGTCCGTAGCCGGCCACCAATGCCCGGCGTCCCCAGTCCGGCGTCTAGGCGCCTAGGACGTCGTCCGAACCCCCGAGGTCGGCGTCCAAACGCCCAGGACGTCGTGCAGACCTCCAGAGCAGCGTCCAGCCTACCAAGACGCCGACCAGACGCCCAGGTCGGCATCAGGGCCCCCAGGACGCCCAGGTCGGCGTCCGGGCCCCGAGGACGTCGTGCAGACGCCTAGATCGGCGTCTGGCCTTCTAGGGCGCCGTGCAGGCGCCCACGACGCCGACTAGGCGCCCGGGTAGTCATACAGCTTCCCAGGACGCCGTCCAAGCGTCCAGGACAGCGTCCTTCTGCTCGGCACCCTCCAGCTAGACGCCCTTGTAGTGGCCCCCGTGCCCACTGCTGTAGGTCGGCTGTAACCCCCGCACATCCGACCACGAGGCTGGCTCCGCCCAAGCGAGGACGGGGCCAAACAACACTCCCGTTGACACCCTCAACCCCATGTGCCGCCCTCATCTCGCCCCTCCTTCCCCCACCTGCCTCCTCCCCTCCCCCTCCCCCCCCCCCCCCCCCCCCTCCCCATTGCGTGGCAGCGCAAGCGCTGGCGGCGCTGAAGAGTGCGATAGGGGTGATGTACTTCACGTGGGTGCCCACCACCTACTGCACCATGGTGCCCATGCCCACCGCCATCGTCGCCGGCACGTGGGATGGCATGCAGTGCAACTCCATCGGCAAAGTTGTCAGCCTGTGAGTGCCGTCAGCCTGTGAGTCTGCATGCTCTGCAACGCTGCATGCTGCTCCGCTGCCCTTTCAGCATCCACATGAAGGGAGGGTGGGCCTTCAGCTTACCTCCTCCCTTCTTCCCCTCTTTTCACTTGTTTCCCAATGGCATGTGTGTACCCTGCCTTACACATCCCGTCCTCCAGGCAACTACCCAACAGCAAGCTCACCGGCACGCTGCCCCTTTCCGTCTCCAGCCTCGCTGGTCTCACAGTTGTGCCCTACTTCTGTGTGCATGTCTAGTTGTTCTGCTTCTCTGGCATCCACTCACTTACCCACCTGCACCTGTGCTCCCTCACCCCCACGCTCACAGCAACCTCGACTACAACTAGTTCTCTGGCTCTGTGCCTGCGTTCATGCTCACGCTTCCAAGCCTCACAGAGTTGTAAGCCCGACTTGCCCTTTCCACTCCTCTGTTCCCTACTCTTACACCTCCACTGTCCCCTTCACGCCTCCCAGCCTCACGGAGCTGTAACCTCCCTCAATTGTTCCCTTTCCTCAACGTCTTCTTGCATTGTCAATCCCCTCCCCCTCCTCTATCGGTATCCCTAAGGGCCTTCTGCTTCGGCTGCGTTTCCATACCCTCCCCATCCCATCACCTCTGTCTACCCTTTCACCTTCGCATTCACTCTGTCCATTGACACGTGCCCTCACGCCACCCCACTGCGCTCCCATTCCCCCCCACCATGGCCCCTCACCACGCCCTGGGCAACTCCGTGGGCTACAACTACCTCACGGGCGCGCTGCCCCCCGTGACATCGCCGCTCTCAGCGGTGGACGTGCAGTTCAACTTCCTGGCCGGCACCTTCCCCACTCTCACCCTCACCAGCTGCGCCGCGCGCATGAACTGCTTCCTCGACGCCATCAAGTGCAAGAACCCCGCGCGAGCAGCCGAGCTCCCGCGGGCCACGGCCTCGTTCTCCATCTACAACACGACCAACGCGCAGGGGCGCCTGTGCAACGGCGGGGTGTGCACTGTGAACGCCACGGACCTGGTGGCGCTAGATGCGCCCAACAGCGCCGCGTCGCCCTCGCTGCCGCTCATCTGCGTGGGTGCTGCCTTTGTGGCCATGGACACAGTCAACGCGGGTGCCATGCTGAACCTGAAGGCGTCGCTGGGGGTGACCTCCTTTGACTGGAAGGCCGACTCGCCCTGCTCCCTTCCTGGCGACGTTGCTGCTGGGTCGTGGAGTGGCGTCAGCTGTGACGGCACCGGCAAAGTGCTGAGCATGTTAGTGCAAAGTGCTCAGCATATGAATGCCTGTGTAGAGTAGATACCGATGCAATGTGCTCCCCTCACGCACTGTGGCTGGAGTATGTTGTTCCGCTTCCGTACAATGCTATTATTACCTTGAAATTTTTATCCCTATTCATCTCCTCTCTCACTGCACTCCCCCTGTCATTGTGTGAGTGCTTGGATCACTAGAGTCCTCAACTCGCAAATGCTGGCGGGCAGCATTCACTCAGACATCTCCAAGCCCACCACGCTCACCTCGCTGTTAGTCCTCGCACCCTCCTTCCCCCACCTCTCACCTTCACGCACCTCCCACTCTCTCTCTCTCTCTCTCTCTCTCTCTCACCTCGCGCTCTCACCCTCCTCTGCTTTGCTATTCCACCATCCGAATGTCACCCATGTTTCGATCCTCACTGGGTGCCATTCTGCATTGTACCTCGTGCCTTGTACGCTCCCCTCTGCTCGCCGCTGTGTGCTACAGGGACCTGCAGTCGAACCTGCTACAGGGGCGGCTGGACTCCTTCAATGCCGGCATCAAGGCACCCCTCGTGCTCAAGGAGCTGTGAGTCACTGCAACCTGCCACCACACCACCCATGGGTCACACACTACTGGGGTCATGCATGCACCACCATGCTCACCTCTGTCCAGCACAGCGCACTCACTCTCAGCACCATGCACTCTTCTCTTTTCTTCTCCCTCCACTGCTCATCGCCCCCCTTACCCCCTTGTGCTCTCCCCTTCCTCCCCCCCCATCCTTGCCGTGCCTGCGTGTCACTACATGGCGCTGCAGTTCAACTACCTGTCGAGGCAGTTCCCCTCCACGCTGCTCGCCCTCACCACGCTCTCCAAGCTGTCAGTACTCTGTGCCAGTGCCCCCATGTCTTCCCTCCCCTGTCCCTCGCACCGCCCCTCCCCATGAATTACATGCATCCCTCACACAACTTTCTCTACTCTCCAACTCTCCCATCTTCCCTCCACAAATTCCTCCCACCTACCCTCAACACCCCCCCCGTCTCTCTCCCACTCTCTCCCCCTCCGCCTCCCCCTCCCCCAGCTCTGTGGCCTACAACTACCTCACGGGCACCGTCCCAGCAGTGCCAGCGTCAGCCAAGTCACTGGATGTGCAGAGCAACTTCATGTCAGACGCCTTCCCCACCAACACACTCACCTACTGCCCTGCCACCTCCAACTGCCTCATAGATGCCTCCAAGTGCGCGTCGCTCGGCATCTCCCAGCGCAGTGCCTCCAACTGTGCCATCTGCAGCACCACCAGTGGCCAAGGCACGCTGTGTGGCGGGGTGGCCTGCCTCGTCAACACCACCGGTGTCACGGCAGCCCCCACTGCCACGTTGCCCCCCTTCAACCTTTACTGCACGCCTGTTGCCATGGACACCAATACCAGTGAGTGCTGCTTCTCTCATGCCGCCTTCCCCTTGGCTCCCCCTGCCTTCCCCTTGGCTCCCCGCGCCTTCCCCTTGCCTTCCCCTTGCCTTCCCCCACCTTCGCCTTGCCTGTCCGCGCCCATCACCACTCAACCCTTACAACATCACCCCACCCACCGCCTCTCTTCTCACGTGCAGCCACAACGCTGCTGGCGCTGAAGACGGTGCTGGGAGTGATGGCGACGGACTGGTCAGCCATGACAGTGGCGTTGCAGCCCAAGGCGTTGTAGCCCAAAGCGCTGAGGAGCAGCAGTGTGCCCATGGCCACCACGGTGGGCGCGTGCACGGTGGAGGGGCAGACCCCTGCGCCCGGCTCCTGGACTGGCGTTTTCTGCAACTCTGTTGGCGCCATCGTCAGCCTGTGAGTCCATAAGGCTGCTTTTATTCCACGCCTGCTTTCATTCCATGCCTGCTTTCATTCCGTACCTGCTTTCATTCCATGCCTGCTTTTATTCCATGCCTGCTTTCATTCCATTCCTGCTTTCATTCTATGTCTGCTTTCATTCCATGCCTGCTTTCATTCCATGCCTACTTTCATTACATGCCTGCTTTCATACCACGCCTGCTTTCATACCACGCCTGCTTTCATTCCACGCCTGCTTTCATTCCATGCCTGCTTTCATTCCATGCCTACTTTCCACCTGCTTTCATTCCACGCCTGCTTTCATTCCATGCCTGCTTTCATTCCATGCCTACTTTCCGCCTGCTTTCATTCCATGCCTGCTTTCATTCCATGCCTGCTTTCATTCCATGCATGCTTTCATACCGCGCCTGCTTTCATACCACGCCTACTTTCATACCACGCCTGCTTTCATACCACGCCTGCTTTCATACCACGCCTTCTTTCATTCCACGCCTGCTTTCATTCCATGCCCGCTTTCATTCCATGCCTACTTTCCACTACTTTCATTCCACGCCTGCTTTCATTCCATGCCTGCTTTCATTCCATGCCTACTTTCCGCCTGATTTCATTCCATGCCTGCTTTCATTCCATGCCTGCTTTCATACCACGCCTGCTTTCATACAACGCCTGCTTTCATTCCACGCTTGCTTTCATTCCATGCTTGCTTTCATTCTATGCCTGCTTTCATTCCACGCCTGCTTTAAACGCCTGCTGTCATTCCACGCCTCCTGTGCGCTACTTTGTTGTGGCCACACGTTATGGTGGCCCTCACCTACTCAGGCCTGTGCTGATCCGCGATGCTCCTCTCCACCTCACGCGTGCTGCTGCATCCTATCATTGGAACAGCAACCCCCCATGCACGTCAACCCTCCAATGATCTGTCAAGCACAGTTGCCTTTGCCTTACCCCAGTCTCCCGGGTGTGTTCCACCATTCCCACTTCCCTCCCTCCTCTTGCCCGTACTTTTGCTCATCCTTCTCGACCACTTCAATCTCTCTCTCCCACCCCTCCCGTCCGCCGTCCTTCTCAACCTGCAAGAAGCTGTCCAACAAAAAGCTGACAGGAAGCTTCTGGACGGATATCAGCAAGCTCACAGCGCTCACCATGATGTGTGTCATCGCATCCCAGCCCATCCATACACGCCCTCGCAAGGCTATATTTATGCCACCACTGTCACACCTGCATTTTCTATGTAGCACATTCGAGTCCCTTCCAAGCCCCATGCAAAACCACCTCTGCGACGTCTTCAAAGATGCTGTCCTTCTTCGTCCAAATGCTTCTATGAATGTGCATATGATTCCATGTGTGTGCATGTGATTCCATGTGTGTGCATGTCATTCCATGTGTGTGCATGTGATTCCATATGTGTGCATGTGATTCCATGTGTGTGCATGTGACTCCATGTGTGTGCATCTGATTCCATGTGTGTGCATGTGATTCCATTTGTGTCCATGTGATTCCATGTGTGTGCATGTGATTCCATCTGTGTGCATGTGATTCCATGTGTGTGCATGTGATTCCATGTGTATGCATGTGATTCCATGTTTGTGCGTGTGATTCCATGTGTGTGCATGTGATTCCATGTGTATGCATGTGATTCCATGTGTGTGCATGTAATTTCGTGTGTGTGCCTGTGATTCCGTGTGTGTGCATGTGATTCCATGTCTGTGCATGTGATTCCATGTTTGTGCATGTGATTCCATATGTGTGCATGTGATTTCGTGTGTGCGCATGTGACTCCATGTGTGTGCATGTGATTCCATGTGTGTGCATGTGATTCCGTATGTGTGCATGTGATTCCGTGTGTGGGCATGTGATTCCATGTGTGTGCACGTGATTCCGTGTGTGTGCATGTGATTCCATGTGTGTGCATGATATTCCATGTGTATGCATGTGATTCCATGTGTGTGCATGTGATTCCGTGTGTGTGCATGTGATTCCATGTGTGTGCATGTGATTCCATGTGTGTCTATGTGATTCCGTGTGTGTGCATGCGATTCCATGTGTGTGCATGCGATTCCATGTGTGTGCATGGGATTCCATGTGTGTGCATGTGATTCCATGTGTGTGCATGCGATTCCATGTGTGTGCATGCGATTCCATGTGTGTGCATGTGATTCCAAATGTATGCATGTGATTCCTTGTGTGTGCATGTGATTCCATGTGTACATGTGATTCCTTGTGTGTGCATTTTTTCGTGTAATTTCCTGTGTCTGCATGTAATTTCATGTGGTGTATTTGTGCGTGTGATTTCCTGTGTGTGCATGTGATTCCATGTACCTGCACCGCACTGCCCTTCACTCTATGCAAGGATCTGAGTGCCAACCTCTTCCAGCAGCGCTTGGACGTGTTTGTGTCGCTCTTCACCCCCCTCAAGACACCCAAGTCGCTGTACGTGCTCCACTCCACCCTACGTCACATGCTGCACTTCCAGCATCACGCCTAGCATCACGCCCAGCATCATTGCCAGCATCACTGCCAGCATCACTGCCAGCATCACTGCCAGCACCACTGCCAGCATCACTGCCAGCATCACTGCCAGCACCAGCATCATTGCCAGCACCAGCACCACTGCCACTGTTCCATGTTCTTGCCCCACCCAGCCGTCTCAGTATGCCATCCTCACCTCACCACCCTCCTCCCACCATCTCCCATCCACCCTGCTTGCCCACAAAGCTCTACAGTACAACTGGTTCTCCAGATCCATCCCCTTAGCCCTCCTCGCCCTCCCTGCGCTCTCCAGCGTGTAAGTGCCTCCCCTCATGATTGGTCCCTCGCAACCAACTTCTGCTCTGCTGCCATGTTCCACTCACCATGTGTTCAACGCTGTTATGTCTCACTCTTGCATACACTGTGCCTCCCCCCCTCCGCCCACCCCCCCTCTTCCCCACATCCCGTGCTGGTGCGAGCAACAAGCTGAACCGCAACTATCTCACAGGCATGGTGCTGGCAGTGGGCTCAGCCGTGAAGTCCCTCAACGTGGCGGGAAACTTCCTCTCGGGCACCTTCCCCACCGCCGCCCTCACCGCATGCGACGCGCGCTCCAACTGCTTTGTGGACGCCACCAAGTGCGCCAACACCAACGGCACTGCGCAACGCACCACTACCGGCTGCAACATCTGCTTCTCCACCGGCACTGCCGACGCGCTGTGCGGCGGCGGCTACTGCATGCTGGATGCCATCGTGCCGGCCGGCGCCGGCACGCCCAACGCGGAGGGGCAGGCACTGCTGCCCATGTTCTGCCAGGGCGGGCCCATCGAGATTAACATGCGCGGCGCCATGCTAAACCTCAAGGCATCACTGGGAGTGACGTTCACGGACTGGACTACTGCGTCGTCATGCACCATTGCAGGGCAGAGCCCCGTGGCAGGCGCGTGGTCCAAGGTGGTGTGTGACACGGCCGGCAAGGTCATCAGCATGTGAGTGACTCGCACTGCCGTTCTACACGCTCTCTGTCAGTAGTGGAAGTAGCATGAAGGCTGTAGACTCACAGACTGCAGGAACAACCTGAGTGCGTGTGTATCCTGCATCCTTCCCCCAGTGGCTCACATTCATCCCTTGTCCACTCGCACCCTCTCCTGCCTTGCTTATGCACAGCGACCTCAACAACCAGTTGTTGAAGGGTAGCATGCACGCTAACATCACCAAGCTCACCACTCTCACCTCCGTGTAAGCTCACCACCCTCACCTCCCACTCTCACCACTCTCACCTCCCATTCCTCGCTCTAACGCCACTTGCACCTCCCTGCCCCCCCCACTGCACGTAAGATCCCTTGACCACACTACCACCTGCGTTCTGGATCTTCCTCTGCTTATGCACCTCCACATCAACCCCTTCCCCCCTCCCCCCCATCCCACCATCAGAGTGTTGGAGAGCAGCCTGCTGCAGGGCCGTCTGGCCTACTTCACCACGACCTTCAAGGCCCTCACTGCGCTCAAGCTCTTGTCAGTCGCCGCTGCTTGCCACCTGGAGTCCTACGCCATACACCATGTCTTTTGTTGGACTGGGCTAGACTTGCCTCTGATGTTGCTCGTGGCCTCATGATATTGGCACTCTCTGCTTCTCTGCTTCCCTTTTGCCCACACCCTCCTTGTGCTACTGTGTTTCGTTCCCTCACTGCACTCTGTGCATGTGCCTGTACGTGCTCTGCCTTCATCCCTCCCCCGCCTGCCCATCGCAGCAACGTGAAGTTCAACTTCTTCGCCGGCCCGATACCAGCCGTGCTTCTCACTCTCCCCACGCTCACCAACCTGTACCTTTCAACCACTTCCAACCTCTCATCACATGCCAACTGCTTGCTTCCTTCTTTTCGCTGCTTCTTTCCTCTGCTTGCATCGTACACCCATCCGGTGCCTTGCCCCATACACCCATCCAGTACCATTCTATGCTCCAAGACGAGCCAGTATGCTGTCTCATGGCCTGTCTGCCTTGTCCGTGTGCTCACCACCCGCCCGCCACATGCTGTATCGCCCTCCCTCTCAGAGACGTGAGCTACAAATACCTCACGGGGACCTTGCCTTCCCTTGGCACAGCGCTCAAGAACCTGCGGATCGGAGGCAACTGGCTGTCCGGCAACATCGGCACGCTCAGCGGCGTGATGTGCTCAGCCCTGTTCAACTGCCTGGACACCCAAGGCAGCTGCACCAGCGGCGGCAATCAGCAACGCCCTGCTGCCGGCTGTACCATCTGTAGCAGCGTGAAGGCGGAGGTGTTGATGTGCAGGGGAGGGCTGTGTGTGCCTGACGCCACAAGTGCCGTGGCGAATGGGGAGTTCCGACGCTGTCCACGCCCTACTCGCCCCTGTACTGCACGGGGGTCATACTCGACGCCACTGCTGGTAATGCCCTGCTTCCCTCCCTGCCTTGTGCATGAACCATCCCCCGTCGCACCATCCTCCATGGCACCATCCTCCATCGCACCATCCTCCATGCATGGTGATGCTCAGTAGCCATCATCCTTGGTCACTCACTCATACATTGTTGCAGCTTTGCCTCCCAAATAGCCTTTCCTTTTGTATCGATGTGCTTCGCTCAAGCCGTCCTATCTCGACCACTCTACTCCATTCACGGCACTGGGCGACATCAAGACGGCGTTGGGGGTGACGTTCACGAACTGGGTGGCGCCCACAACGTGCTCAAGCCCAAGGCGGCGCTGGGCAGTGGCAGCGTGGCGCTGACGGACTGGACGGTCACGGACGGCTATTGCACGGTGGAGGGGCAAACCCCCGTTGCCAGCTCGTGGTCCGGCCTGCTCTGCAACTCCCTCGGCCAACCCGTCAACCTGTGCGTTCTCTCGCACCCTCGCTCGCTGCTGCACTCTCTCTCTCTCTTTCCCTCTGCACTGCCTCTCTTGATGTTCAAGCCACCACTGGTGCATGCGATCATGGCAGCACGTAGCTCGCCTCCCCACCATGCTCCTCCCTCCCCTCCTCCCCAACCCATGCTGCCAGGAATTTGAACAATCAGAGGCTCACCGGCTCGCTCCATGCTGACATCAGCAAGCTCTCCACGCTCACCATGCTATGAGTGCTGCCCAAATGCTGCCCTTTGCCCATGCCGCCCATGCTGCCCTTCGCTCAGTGCTGCCGCCCACATGCTGATCTTTGCCCAGCGCCACCCATGCTTCCTGCGAGTGAGCGTCCATGGAACCATGTCCTCTTTGCCCCACTCCTTCCCTCCATGTTCTACCCTCCACCCCCACCCTTCCCTCCACCTCCTTGCCCTTCCCTCCCCCTCCTTGCCCTTCCCTCCCCGTGCTAATTGCTGCTGTGCCCACCGTTGCTGTGTGTCCTCCGTCCCAGGGATCTGAGCTACAACTTCTTCAAAGTGAGCCTCGACACGTGGGCGGCGCCCCTCAAGCTTTCCACCAGCCTGGTGTCGCTGTGAGTGCCTTGCCAACCTGCTCTCGCTGTGAGTGCCTTGCCAACCTGCTCTTGCTGTGAGTGCCTTGCCAACCTGCTCTCGCTGTGAGTGCCTTGCCAACCTGCTCTTGCTGTAAGCGCCTCTCTTGCTAGGCTAGGATAGGAAGTTGTCAACCTATCCTTTCTAACCTCCTCCCTGCTCCATCTCTGTGTGTGCAGCCGCCTCAACAACTATTTCTTCGGCTCCGTGCCCCTCTCCCTCGTCTCCTTCTCCAAGCTCACCAACCTGTCACTGCCCCACCCCTCCTCCCTGCTCCATCTCTGTGTGTGCAGCTGCCTCAACAACTATTTCTTCGTCTCCGTGCCCCTCTCCCTCGTCTCCTTCTCCAAGCTCACCAACCTGTCAGTGCCCCACCCTGCACTACCCTGCCCCGCCCTGCCCCACCCTGCCCCACCCTTCCCCACCCTGTCCTACCCTGCCCAACCGCGCTGCCCTCTCCTCCCAAGCGAATCCCATCCACCCCTATCCTCGTGCATTTCCCCGTCCTCTTTCCATCCGCGCTGCTCCCTCGGCTCTATTCTTCTCTTACCTCTCATCTGTCGTGCGGCCCCGCCCCCATCACTGCCTCTTGTGCCCCATGCTCCTGCTCCCGTGCCCTCCCTCGTCCCATACTGCCATCCCTTGTCCCTTCTCATTCGCCCTCCCCCCCTTTCCTCCCCACCACCCTACCTGCAGCGAGCTGAACTTGAACCCGCTCACCGGCACGTTCCCCGCAACCATCTCCACCGCACTCAAGCGCCTACTGGTGGACCGGAACTTCATAGCAGGCACGTTCCCAGCCAACAGCGCCACCTACTGCACCGCCTACGGCAACTGCATTTCCACCTACACCACCTGCAACTCGTTCTACCCCAACTCGCCCGTTGGCAACTGCAATATCTGCCGCATGACCAATGTGCTGGGCACGGCATGCATGAGCAACCCATGTGTGCCCGTGACACCATCGCCCATCACAGCCACCAACAGATGGGACCCCATGCCCACCATGCGCTGCGTCCCCGTGCCCATCCAAGCCACCCAAGGCAACCCACCCATTACATGAATGTGAGTCACACAACAACAATAAAAAAATAACGATTTAAATCACTCCTGATATCAATAGGAGTATAGTTATTGATTCTAAAATTACTTCTGAAGAATTGGTAATGCATGTAAATAGCGGTAATAAGTAATGCTGCCCCTTAGAAAAATAAATTATAATACTATCGGAAATTAACAAATTTGTATGATCAAACAATCTAAAAAAATACATAATACCTGGTGGCTTCCTCAGTTTTTGTTATTTTATTAGCTAGCTGCTAAAAAAATCTCACAAGTAGTTAAAACTTAGGTACTAGGGTGTTGGGTAGAACGAGAGTTACGAGAGGAAGGGGTCGAGAGAGTTTGACAAAAGAGGATGATTCAATATTGAGCGAGGATACAAATAGGAAAGAACAAACAAGAAAGGTGCACCACCAAACAGAAACTTCTATGACTACAGTATTCTACACTACAAGCAGTTACAAAACAATATATAGAGTTATATATTATTCTGACAAAAAATAGCCAGAAAATTATTAGCGGCCAAAGTTCGCCCATTATATAAAATAAAACATAACTCCATTTTCCCCACATAACGACAAACCATTTAAAATGCGGAAAAAGATCAACATAAGTCTTGATTCGTTCGGGATCAGGGTGAAAGAACCCAGTATTAGGAAAAATAATGCAAGCAAAACAGGAAAAAAAATACAAGAAATCCTCTAAACTATGCGTTATGGTTTTGTTGCATAAATATTAAAAACTTTATGGCTTCGTATCCTTACGCTATTTGGTTATTTATTTTAAAGCGGAAAATGTATGATATATAGTATATACTAGTTAATATATACTAACATAAATTACAGGGGTTAGATGAAAAAAACAAAAATATTCCAAAATGGCAAAAGCCAAGCCATAAGGATACCAAAAGAATATAGATTTAATAGTAGAGAAGTTGCAATAACCCCTTTAGGAAAAGGAATTGTTCTACAACCAATATTACATGGTAGCTTGTGTATGAGGGCATTGTGATAGAGGACAGCGTGAGTGAGGGCAGCATGAGTGAGAGTAACCAGAGTGAGGGCAACGCAAGTGAGAGTAACCAGACTAGAGAGAGGGCAACACAAGTGAGAGTAACCAGACCAGAGAGAGGGCAACGCAAGTGAGAGTAACCAGACCAGAGAGAGGGCAACGCAAATGAGAGTAACCAGACCAGAGTGAGGGCAACGCAAGTGTGGGTAACGCAAGCAAGGGCAGCAGAGATGAGGGAACAAAGATGAGGGAACAGAGATGAGGGAACAGAGATGAGGGAACAGCATGCATGGCGTGGGCAGTGCAGGTGAGGGCAGCACTGACAGCTGCTGGAGCGCCTTGAGGCCGGAGAAGGCGGAGGTGAAATCGTCAAGGCTGGCTCGCAACACATTCTTGGACAGATCGCTGTAGCGGTGCATGGGAGGGGGACACACGGAGCATGCGTAAGGCGCGGTGGAAGGAAGGAGCAAGGGGAGGAGTGGGTGGGGCAGCCGGGACATGGAGCAGGCATAAATGAAACGGAATAGGCAGGCTCAGATGGGCGCACGGTGCGAGGTGAGCGTGAGCACGTGGAGAAGAAAGCGAGAGGAGGGATGAGAGTATGATGCAGTGGCGTGCAGCAGGCGTGGAGGGTTCAGTGAAGTGACACGTGGTGGGCAGTAACAGGTAGGTGAGGGCAGTAACAGATAGGTGAGGGCACTGATAGGTAGGTGAGGGCACTGACAGGTAGGTGAGGGCAGTGAGCATGGAGATATCGGGATGCATGGTGCCTGTGAGGCCGGAGGACGACAGGCTCCTGTGCGCGCACATGTTTGCATGGAAGGGGGAAGGGCGGAAGGAGAAGGAAAGGAGGCGTACATGGCATCCAGGAGCTTGGGGAATACAGCTACATGCGAAAAACAGGCAGAAGTGGGAAAGAAACAGCAATTTAAAGACAAAAGCAGCAGCGGGGAGACGGGGCTGGGAGACGGAGTAGAGGGCAGCGTCGGAGAGCACTGACAGTCTGACGACAATGCCAGAAGGGGAGCAGGTGACGCCAGTCCAGGTGTCTCCAATGTTGACATTGGCGTTGAGAACGGCGCAGGGCCTATCGGAGTTCCGGCTGGTGAACGTCACTTTGAGCGCTGACTTCACGTTCAACAGTGCCAGCGCTGCAGGCAGGTGGGGAGGGAGCAAGAGGAGGGATAGAAGTGACAGTGAGGAATGGAAACAAGATTCAAAGAGAGTGAGTGAAAGTCGCAAGGGTGCGAGGTGGCAAGAAGGGTGCGAGGTGGCAAGAAGGGTGCTCGGGGCGGACTCACCTGAACCGGTGTCCATTGGTGTGGCGGGATTGTCTGCGAGTGGGGATGGGAATTGTCCGAGAGAGGGAAGGTTGCAACATGGCGGGAGATATTAGGGAGGTGAGGGCAGTTGGAAAAAGGGGAGGTGCAATTAAATCATAGATGTGATGTGAGCTGGAGCATTGTCATTTTATGTGGAACACCATGGATGTTGGGATTTTGACAGAGATGTAAATCCCACGCGTTGCTACCCTACCCACACGTCTCCATCCACAACACACCCACCTGCACATGGCATGGACAGCAGCGGCTGGTTCGGTGAGTTGATAGTGTCAGCACTGACAGCAGCAGCAGCGTCGAGAGCGCAGGAGCCACCGAAGCAGAGGTCCCTCCGGCCAGCAGCAGAGCCACAGATGGCGCAGGTGCCGGCAGGGCACTGCACGATGCCGTAGGTGTGGCAGGCGGTGGAGTTGAGGAAGCAGCTGTTGTCGCCCGCACAGAACATGAGCACCAGCTTCGGGAAGGTGCCCGAGAGGTAGTTAAAGCCCAAGTCGAGCGCGAGTAGGGACTTGGATGGGATGGGCACTGTCTCCGTAAGGTAGTTGGAGAAGAGGCCTCTGCAGAGAAGGAAGAGGAGGCCGGGAGGTGGAGAGGAGAAGAGGGAGAAGGGATTGGATTAGGGAGCGAATGGGGTATGGGGGGGAAGTGTCCCTTGTGCTGAGGCAGCAAGCAGAGCGGAGTGGGCCACGTGCCGTGTGGGCATGAGTGGTGCTGGTGGGTCGGCTTACAGCGAGGTGAGTTGAGGCAGCGAGGCAATGGCGGAAAGAATGGAGCCGGCGAAATGGTTGTAGTGGAAGAAGCTGGCGGGGAAGAGGGGGGGAGAAGGGAGGGGAGGGAGTGGGGGGCAAATGGTAACATGGTATGAGTGATTGTCGGGGGTGAGGAGGGGTGCAAGTGGGTGAAAGAGAAACAAGCGGACAGATCATGGTGGGCATGGTGAACATGATGGAATGGGCTGGCGGGCTTACAGCGCCTTGAGGGAATTGAGGGGCTTACAACGCCTTGAGGGAAATGAGGGGCTTACAGCGCCTTGAGGGAGGTGTAGGGCTTGAGCGGGTTGGAAAAGAGGTCGAGGCGGCCCTAGAAGAGATTGTAGCCCAGGTCGCTGGGGTGGGAGAGGGGCCGTCGACAGGGGGAAACACAGGTGTGGGGAGAAGAGGGGGGTTTGATTGGGTACGGTACATGGTGAGCAGCATAGATAGGTGCTTGTAATCTTCAAAATGAACAGCCCACTCGCAAGCAGACATATGCATGCGCAGTGCCTTTCTCCTTCATGGTGCCGATATGTTCTCTGTAGTATGATACCATATGAGTGTTGCGAGATGAGCTTACAGATATGTGAGAGTGGTGAGCTTGGAGATGTTCGGATAAATTGAGCCCTGCAGCCCCTGACGCGTCAGCGCACTGTGAGGAAATGAGGGTAGCAGGTAAAGTGTGAGATGGGCAACAAGTATAGGGCGATTGATGAATGAGAAGTGGTGGAGGACGGATGGATGACATACATCGCATTGGGTGTGAAAGAGAAAGTGAAGCACCAGCAATCACATCGCACATGCTCCAGCTCTCCCTTGCAAAATGCAACCACAACATGCACTGCATCACATGGGGGCCTCCCTCTCACTCACATGCTCAGCACTTTGGCTGCAGTTGGACAGCGCACGCTGCCCCACTGCGCCGGCAGCATCGTCTGCCCCTCCAGCATACATGCTGCACCTGGGTTCCAGTTGTTGAGCGTCATACCCAGCGACGACTTGAGCACCATCAGCACCACCGCTGGTGGGGCAGAGGAGGAAGCAATTGGTGGAGATGAGTTGTGGGAGAACGGCAATGGGCTTGACCGCAGTGATGGCGCTGGGCTGAAGAGTGTCAAGAGCTAGGCACGGCGTGTGCCTTGGATTGGATGCAGTGTGCACAGCATGCCATGGGCCCATGCACTCACCATCAGTAGGGTTGATGGGGATGCTGCCGCACACCATGGGCACCGTCGGCGCGCCCGGTGGAATGCTGACCACCCCTGCGCCACGATAGGGCCAGAATCGGCCGAGCACGCTCCAGTGCCACCGCAAAAAGGCGGCTGCGCGTTGGCGGTGGCGCAGATGGCGCAATCGGCTGCGAGGCGCTGGGTGGAGCCACCCATGGCGCAGGAGGAAGGAGTGGCGAGGCAGTTGGCGCGGCCGTTGCACCACTAGATGCTCGGCCCCGGCGATATGGCGTAGAGGAAGTTGTTGATTGCATCCAGTGCTACCAATTTGGTCGGCGTTGCCAGGCTGCCCATGAGGTAGTTGAAGCTCAAGACGCTGCACTGGGCACACAATGGCACGGCAGCACACGTGTACATACAAACAGCGGCAAGTGAGAGATGGCGAAAGATCCAAGACAGCAAAAGTTGATGTTGAGATGTCAGGTGAGGTTCAAGATTTGAGTTGTCACGAGCAGTCAGGGCAGCATTGTGTTGTGAAGACATGGCGTTGGTGAGTGAGTGCACGGGGGAGCGTGGAAGGCGAACAAAGACTCACAGCCGGGAAAGGGTGGGAAGGTTGAGGAGCGTGGAAGGTACAGAGCCGGAGAACTAGTTGTATCCCAGGTTGCTGCGGGGCAGGGAGCAGGAGTAAGGGGCGATGCGGGCAAGCACACATGTTCACATGTGATGTGATTTTAGGCTGGAAGAGAAGGGCAGGAAGGGGGCCAAGAAGGCAGAGGATATAAAGAGCATGGGATATGTGTGGAGGGGAAGGGAGGGGTCGGGGGGGAGCTAGGGAGGACCAAAGCAGCAAAGAGATAGTGAGGCAAGGGCTTAGGCGAGAGCCAGTACATGTGGGTGAGAGGTGAAAGGAGGGGTGGTGAGGGGAGGGCGAGGGCGAGGAGCTGACAGGTCCTTGATGGCGGCGAGATTGTAGAGGCTGGGTGTGAAGTCCGCGAGCGGCCTCTGGAACAGCTCCCCCTCCAGGTTCCTGCGCTCCCACACAGGCAGGGGGGTGGTAGGCAAAGGTGGCAACACCGTGTGGGACGAGTGTGAGAAGGACTCACATGTAGGTGAGGGGTGTGATGTACTCACATGTAGGTGAGGGGTGAGATGCACTCACACATAGGTGAGGGGTGAGATGCAATCACACATAGGTGAGGGGTGAGCTGCACCCATAGGTAGGTGAGGGCAGTGAGCTTGGAGATGTCGGAATCGAGTGACCCTGTGAGCCCCAGCTCCAAAAAATCACTAGCATCCACACAACATGGGTGGGGAAGGAAGGGACGGGGAAGGTGTAGGCTTGAAGAAGCAGATGGACAATAGAGTGTGGGGAACCATGCAGAACTTCACGAGTAGATCTTGGGGAATCCAAGCCACCAAATCTGCTGCCACATGCAATCTGGTGGCAAACGTCACTTGCCTTGCCTGTGTCATTTTTGGCTTTTGATGACACAGCAAGTAAAGGCACAGCACATGGCTTCTGGTGCCACGTGTGCTTTGATGCCACTCTCGATTTGGTGCCACGTGACCTTTGGTGCCACGTGGGCTTTGGAGCCACGTGGATTTTGCTAACAGATTGACTTTCTTAGGCATGGCCACACAAATGGTTGACATGTAGTTGCTTGCGTTCATTCTCATATCAAGGAACATGACATCATATGGCACAGACTATCCTCATATGCATCAACCTTACTTACATGCCCCACTCACATACCCAACTTACTCACATGCCCCACTCACATGACCCACTCACATACCCCAGTCACTCACATGCCCCACTCACATGACCTGTTAGAGACTAGGGACGGAGTCTATGAAGATTATGGGTCCAAATATCACAAAATCGTTGGTCTCAATTTCAGGACAGAATCATCGCGCTCACAAGAAACGCCGTCGACGTAAAACGCAATGTCAAAACTTCACCAAACTCAGATATGTTGTAGCTCTACTTCGTTGCTACAATTCCCAAGTTGAATCTTTGAATCGTATGAAAAGATGAAGTATTTCTTGAGTTATCTATTTCGGCGCACTAGGGGGTATGCTGCCATAGAATCTTAACTCAATCACAATTGTCTCAGAATTTCACACAAGAAAGTTGGAGTAGCAATTAACCAGGTGGGAGGGAAGAGGAGGACGAGAGGGAAGGTCCCCAAGGAGTCCCCAACCAAGGAAACCCCATAAGCACACCAAATCCCTTCCCTATAGGAACCCCACTTTTACCTTTGTCACTTTCCAACCCATGCCATCCACATTGCCCAACTTGGCCACACTTGCCAATCTGGTTTGGCACCTCCCAACCACTTGGCAGCATCTACAATGATGTTGACGAATTTCCCAACCCCCAAATGTCTATACCCCTTATGGAGTCAACCCCACAACTTCCCATAGTCACCACAACCAAATATAAAAAGCATACGAACTTCCAATGTTCGTAACTTTCTTGTTCGTGCTCCAATTGAAGCGATACTTGGTTCGTCGGAAAGCTCTTGAGCAGAGAACTCACTTCAGATATCTGCTCAAGCCAAATAATATTCACACACACTCAGAAAAACCAAACCACATCAAACACAAATTATCGCACACGCTCACACCACGCATGCAACACACGAACATGTGATGGGAGGCAGACAGACGTGTATGCAAGTGATAGCATCACATAATAAACTCCCCCTCTGGATGCCTACCATCATCCCACATGCCATAGCTCAATCATGCACCCTCAATGCACACTCGTCCCAGCAAGCTTCATGCCCTTCCAATGCTCAGATTCAGCCAGGCGCTTGGTGAGAATGTCAGCCGCCTGCTGATGGATCTTCACAAACTCCAGTCGCACCTCCTTGTCCAGGAGCCTCCTCACCCAGTGCCACTTGGGCCTGATGTGCTTTGTCAGCCCATGAAGGCAGGCGTTCTTGGCAAGCTTCACTGCTGACTCATTGTCACAGAACATGATTGTCGGCTCCCTCTGACCAACTCCAATCTCCTCCAACAAACGCTTGAGAAACACCACCTCCTTTGCCCCATGATGCGGGGCCATGTACTCTGTCTCACACGAAGACTGCCCCACCTCATTCTGCTTCTTACTCCGCCAGCTCACTGCACCACCTCCGAACAGGCACACATAGCCTCCAATGCTGGTGCCATCCGCCTTCACAGAGTTGAAGCTAGCGTCAGTGTAGCAAGTGAAGAGCATCTCCCCCTTCCTCAAATCAGCTGCACCCCTCTACAGCCTCCGTCTCACAACACTGTACTCCAAACCCACTGATGCCGTTGCACTCACATAGCGGACCAACTGCTTGGCGACTTCCAGCTGCTCATGACTGGGGCGTGAAACCACACTGGCAAGCCTGGATGTAGCAAAGGCAATGTCAGGCCGCGTGTGATTATCTGCATAGTTGAGTGCCCCAATCATGGAATGAAACAGCTTCCTGTCACTCTCACCCACCACCTCCTCATCAGTACAGGGCTCCACAGTGAACCCCGAAGGTAGTGGGGTGGCTGGCTTTCCTCCATCTTGCAGCCCATACTTCTCAGCCAGCCCCTCACAATACTTTCTCTGGTGCAACCTCAACACTCCCTTGTCAAGGTCCCTCTCCACATGCATGCCCAAATAGTACTTCACATCTCCCATCTTGGAGCACTTAAACTGCATCTCCAGCATCTCCTCCACATGCTCAATCATTGCAGACAACTCAGAGAAGAGCAGGATGTCGTCCACATACACCAGGAGCATGAGAAAATGCTCCTTCTCTTGCAGCAGGAACAATTTGTGATCACACTCACTCTTCTTGAAACCCCCAGCCAGCAGAGTCTCCTCTAACTTGTGGTACCATGCACAAGGAGCCTGTTTCGAGCCACAGATGGCCTTCTTCAGCCTGCACACTCTGCCGCTCCCATCATCCAAACCCTCAGGCTGTAACATGTACACCTCCTCCAGAACAATCCCATTGAGGAAGGCGGTGGTAATGTCCATCTGCTTCACCCGCCATCCACGGTTTGCAGCCATTGTGACTTTCCCCACAGGAGCATAGATCTCGTCAAAATCCTTCCCCTTTGTCTGCTGAAATCCTTTAGCCACAAGCCTTGACTTGTAGCGGGTCAGCGCCCCATCAGATCCGTACTTGTGCCTGAAAATCAGCCTGGAAGAAATGGCCTTCTTCTCATGAGGCAGCTCACACAACTCCCAAGTCTCATTCTCCAGCAGAGAGTCGTACTCCTCCTTCACACTCTGCTTCCACTTTTCAGCATCGGGCCCACTCAATGCCCCAGCTAGCGTCTTGGGCTCAGGGACGGCTGCCCAGTAGCCGTGTGCTATCTCATCCTCATCACACTGCTCAGCCACACTCCCAGCCCTTACCACCTTTGGCTTGCCAAAGCTCGGATAGGTCAGCCGGTTAGGAGGGCGCACATCCCTCCTTGGACGGTCAGCCGGACGTGCGGCACCTTGTGGAGCATCTTGCTGCTGCTACTGCGGCTGCTGCTCCTCCACCTCAGGTTCTCCCCCATCCTCAGTCACCCCAGAAATCTCCTCCTATGAGACAGTGACCTGCACTTGCCTCGAAGGCCGCTGCACCTCATCAGCCTCAATGATCAGCGGTGTAGTAGGAAGCTTCAGCTGCTGCTGCTTCCACTCATTGTAGTACAAGGACTCTCGAGGAACTTCACATCCCTCGACACAGTCAGCTGCTGGCTGGTCAAGTACCAAATCAGCCATCCCTTGTGATCCTTAGCAAGTCCCAAGTGCACACCCCATCTCCCAGAAGCTTCCATTTTTCCCCTCTTCTCCTTAGGCACATGAAACACCACCACGCAACCGAAGGCTCTCAGCATGTTGACAGCTGGTGCACTCCCATACCACTTGGTGTAGGGGACCCACTGCTTGTCCCCCACAGTCGCCAGCACCCTGTTCTTCACAAGGGCGACCTGCCGCAGTGCAGTCACCCAAAACGGATCCGGCAGCCCTGCACGCCCAAGGAGAGTGCGAGCACCTTCTTGCAGGGTCCGGTTGAACCGCTCAGCCACGCCATTCTGCTGAGGGTTGTAGGGCACTGTGAGCTGATGCTAGATCCCCTTCTTCTTCAGCACCGCCTCAAAATCAGCGCCAATGAATTCTCCCCTGTTGTCAGTGCGGATCACCTTCACCTTATGTCCGCTCTCCCTTTGAGCTCTCGGCATCCACTCCTTAAGAACAGCCGCTGCCACCTCCCCCTTGGTCTTAATAGGGTACACCCACACCGCACGCGTGTGGTCGTCCACAATGGTCAAGAAGTAGCGGCTGCCCGAGAGAGAAGGGGCCCTTGTGGGGCCCACCACGTCCATGTGCACAAGTGCAAGTGGAGCCTTGGCTGGTCCTGTGCTGATGCTGAAGGGAAACTTCATGAATTTTGTCATAAGGCATGTAGGGCAGCTCCCAATCTTCTTTGCTGCCCCCTTTACCTCCAACCCCTTCAAGCTCCCATCCTTCACTAACTTCTGCAGCATAGGAATGTTGATGTGACACAACCTCTCGTGCCACGTCTCCCAATCGGCCTCACCATTCCCAGATGAAGCCTTTGCCCATGCAGCGGTTGCATCCACTCCCCCTGCAGCTACCTTAGCCGTTGCTGCAGCCGCTGCCATTGCTGGTGGTTTCCCATTCCAAGGGATGATGGGCAGTCGCCAGAGGTCCTTGATGCAGATGCTCATCTCCTCCAAGTCCCACAACAGTAACTTCCCAAGCTTTGCACGGCAGCTCGTTGGGCCGAATGTAACCTTAGCCTTGCTTTTCTGCAACCGGCGCACGGAAAGAAGGTTAGCGGACAAACCTTCAACCAACAGCACATTCCCCAGCCCCACAAGCCCCCCATTAGCTCCCATAACCTTGGAATTCCCAACACCATTCACTGGGAGCAAGGCACCTGAAGCGGCAGCCAAAAACTTAATCTTCCCAGGGGGTTTTACCTCGTCAAGCAAATATGCCCGTGGGGTGATGTGACTTATGCAACCTGAATCTATCACCCAGTGGGTGAGGGGGTGCATCACAACCTTCCCAACGGAGCCCACACCCCCCTCACTCTCTTTCACATCCTCAACCATGAGGAATATCCCAGGGTCGGCTTTACCTGGTGCACCATCACCTTGTGCACCTGAAACTTGCACAACGCTACCTCGTGCACGTTCACCACTTGGCGGCTTCATGACTGGAGGCGCCCATCCCACGGGCCGGCTGAAACACTTGAACCATAGGTGTCCAGCCTTCTTGCACTACCAGCAGACACCCTCCATTCGGGTGCTCCTCTTGCCTCCAGAGCTACCATGCCCCTCATTTTAGTCACCTCGGCCTCTCCCTCTGCCAAAGCCTCTCCCACAGCCTCGGCCTCTCCTTCCTCCTCTTCCTCTGCTGCCTCCTGCAGCTCCATACTCCTCAGCAGTTTTGTTGGCAGCACCACCTCCCGTGTGGCGCGTGCGGAAGTCCTCCTACAGGATCTGCTGCCGTAGCCACTAAGGCGTCCACTTGTCCTGGTGAATGTTTAGGGTGGGGATGAGGTTGTCCCACGAGTTGTCGAGCACCGAGATGATCTTGGTGCATTGCTGCATCTGCGACACCTCACTGCCCGCCGCTGCCATCCTCGCATAAGTGTCCTTGATCTTGTCAAGGACCAGCTTCACATCATCTCCTGGCCGCATGGAGAGCGCAGCCAGCTCCTTCTCCAATACGATCACCATCGGCAGCGTGTTGGGCTTAACCACGTCGCGTAGCAGCTTCCACGCCTTTGGTCCCGAGTCATCGAGCTCCACCAAATCCTTGATGTGCTGGAACATGTCGTTGTTGACCGACTGTAGGATCAAGTCATACAGCACCGCGCTTTTCTCAATCCATCGATCGCGGGCATCTCCTTGCTCCGGCATCTTCTCTTCTCCCATCGCGAGTTTCAGCAGCTTATAGCGCTTGAAGGCGCTCCGCATCCGCCCGCTCCATTCCTCGTAGTTGGAGCCATCCAACGCCTCAATCTTCGATGGTGGCAGCTCACTCCTCTTCTCAGCTACTTCTCCACTCTCTTGACTCATCTTCTCTGCTCCCAATCACAGGTTTCCAGCTCCCCCTTTGCTGTCCACACCGAAGTCCCACACAATTTCCACAAGTGTCGGCGCCAACGAAATTTCGGCAGAGTTTCCCCTTAGCGGAAGTCACATCCAACCTCCAGAACTCCACTTAGGCACGCCCACAGGCCATGGTGGGTCTAGGAGGGTCTTCACACTTCAGTAGACTCACCACAAGGTCCTTAATCAGCTCTGATACCACTTGTTAGAGACTAGGGACGGAGTCTATGAAGATTATGGGTCCAAATATCACAAAATCGTTGGTCTCAATTTCAGGACAGAATCGTCGCGCTCACAAGAAATGCCGTCGACGTAAAACGCAATGTCAAAACTTCACAAATCTCATATATGTTGTAGCTGTACTCCGTGGCTACAATTCTCAAGTTGAATCGTATGAAAAGATGAAGTATTTCTTGAGTTATCAATTTCGGTGCACTAGGGGGTATGCTGCCGTAGAATCTTAACTCAATCACAATTGTCTCAGAATTTCACACAAGAAAGTTGGAGTAGCAATTAACCAGGTGGGAGGGAAGAGGAGGACGAGAGGGAAGGTCCCCAAGGAGTCCTCAACCAAGGAAACCCCATAAGCACACCAACTTCCTTCCCTATAGGAACCCCACTTTTATCTTTGTCACTTTCCAACCCATGCCATCCACCTTGCCCAACTTGGCCACACTTGCCAACCTGGTTTGGCACCTCCCAACCACTTGGCAGCATCTACAGTGATGTTGACGAATTTCCCAACCCTCAAAAGTCTATACCCCTTATGGAGTCAACCCCACAACTTCCCATAGTCACCACAACCAAATATCGAAAGCATACGAACTTCCAACGTTCGTAATTTTCTTGTTCGTGCTCCAATTGAAGCGATACTTGGTTCGTCGGAAAGCTCTTGAGCAGAGGAGTCACTTCAGATATCTGCTCAAGCCAAATAACATTCACACACACTCAGAAAAACCAAACCACATCAAACACAAATTCTTGCACACGCTCACACCACGCATGCAACGCACAAACATGTGATGGGAGGCAGACAGACGTGAATGCAAGTGATAACATCACATAACCTGACCCACCCAAACTCACATGCTCACGACGTTGCCGCTGTCGTTGCACACCACCTTGGACCACGTGGGCATGGAGGGCGTCATGCCCTTGAGCGCGCATGACACAGTGGCCGCCCAGTTGTTGAACGTCACGCCCAGTGACGGCTTCAGTGTCAGCATGGCTGGTGGAGAGAGAGTGGCGGGCAAACAGGGAGTAGTTGCTTGGCTGAGCCGAGTGGCCACCGATAAGTTGAGCCCGCATGATGCAGGCCAAAGCAGCAGAATCAGCAGAGCTGGTAACAATCCATGGCAGCCAAAGAGGATACAGCGTGAGGCACCGACACACCAGAGGACCATGACCATGCACCGCCCAATGCCCACTTTAAACATGAGCATAAGATGAGTCGAGTCCAGCTCACTTCGAGACGAATCAACCTCGATTCATGTGGAGTGAAATCTCGACTCACGACGATTCAAGCACGAATACATCAAGATAGCCCTCCCTGTGCACTGCCCATTGCCCATCGGCAAATGCACACTTGCGCTCTCCTTCATGGGCACTGTTGTGCCGCCCATGCACGCCAAAGGAAGAGAAGGCTGCGCCAGCACGTTGACAGTGCTGGCAGCCATGGCAATGGACGCGTTCGCCGTGCACACTCCTCCCGCCCCCCAGCAAAAGGGCCCGACGCCATTGGTGGTGCCGCAGATGGCACAGTCCGCGGCGGGCCTCTGAGTGGTCCCGGAGTTGGTGCACTTGGAGGGCGTGAGGAGGCAGTTGTTGGTTCCGCCACAGAAGGTGTAGGTGACTGCTGGGACGTCCGTGAGGAAGTTGTATCCCACGTCCAAGATGCGCACCTGGCTGGCCATCGCCGGCACCGACTCCACCAGGTAGTTGTCCACCATGCCACTGGTGGGAGGGGGGAGGAGGGCGAGCGGAGCACAGTCAATACTGGCGTGGGCAGAAGATGAAAGCGGCATGCAAGTTGGAAAGCAGAATAGATAATAGAACAGAAGCACATGGAGCAGAAAGGAGCACAATCGTCAGAGGACTTACAGCAGAGTGAGCTTCAGGAGGGCCACAAGGAAGGAGGGGATCTCCTCGTACAAGTAGTTGTAGTGCAGGTGGCTGTGACAGCAGCACGGGTAACAAGGGCAATTATGAGATGGGAGTGAGAGGAGGCAGCATGTGGAAGGGGTAAGGACTGTGCAGGGATAAATTTGAGGAGGCTTAAAGGCAGAGAAGCTTGAGCAGGCAAAGAACAGCAACGGCGGTGAGAACATGAGAGAGAAACAGGCGTGGAAGCAACGTTGAGGCAAGACCCGACAGCAGGTAGCACCATGGTCTCATACTCTCACGCTCACCCCTTTTCCTCCCTTGCCGGCAACCCTCTCACACTCACATGTTGGCCAGCAGTGGCAGGAAGTGAAGGTAAGTGGTGAAGGAGTCGAGGCGGTAGTTGTGGAGATTGCTTTGCAAGACGCTGGTAGGGGCGGGCAGAGGGTGGAGCAGACGGCAATCATATCATTGTGCTTGAACCTTCACTATACCACACTACATGCATCATGGCTTCACTAGGTAGTTTGTCAAAGTTGCGGGACTCTACTTCTGCATGCATGTGGAACAACAAAGAGGCAAGGGTTCCTTTAGGCAACCAGGACGCATTGGGGATCGTCACAGATAAAATCTGCCGTCCAGGAAAGGCGCAACTCACAGGTAGGTAAGAGCCGTGAGAGTGGAGACGTCGGCATGCAGTGAGCCCTTGAGCTACGCGTTTAAGAGATATCTGATGCGTCATGGGCGAGTGTTTGTTGGGAAGCCGAATTTGGTGAGAAGATATATGGTAGGCGGAACATTAAAGCGGCACAGCGGTTGAACGATGCTCAGCGGTCGAAGGATGCATGCATGGTGCTTGCAGCAGCAGGATGATAACGAAACACACCGACTGGTACCTTGCCAGCATGCACTCACATGGTCGCCACCTTGCCGGTATCCGTGCAGTAGACGCCCATCCACTCGCCTGGATAGGCCACTGAGTTTTTGGGCTAAGCGGCACGGTGCTGTGGCGGCCCACGTGGTGTAGGTGGCACCCAGCATGCTCTTGATGTTCAGCATTGCCACAGCTGCATGGTTGTGGGGCAGGGTTGCAAGCCAGTGTGGTGTGGCAGAAACAGTCTATGTCACCATAGCTCGGTAGCGCACAAAGAGATAAACTCTTCAAAGGCCAGCAGAAGGCATTTGTGAGATGAGTGGAAGCACGGGTGAGATGAGTGGAAGCACGTGTGAGATGAGTGGAAGCACGTGTGGGCAGGAAGACTCACCATCCGCTGTGTTCATTACTACGATGCGTAGGACAGAGACACACTTGAACGCCACATCGACGCCGTATGCATGCTTGGTGGAGCTCGCAATAAGTGCGTCCGTATCCGCCACACACGTGCCCGTCATTCCACAGCCCGGGCCATCGGTGCTTGAACAGATGCTGGTGCAACCGGTGCTTCTATGCACGCCACCGCAGTTGCTGGTGCTGGTGAAGTAGTTGTAGCTGGCACCGCACTTGGACCAGGAGGAGCCGGTGGGCATGGTGTCAGTGAAGTAGTTGTGGCTCAACTACAGCGACTTGATTGACGTCACCATGGAGGGCACCGTGCCATACAGACAGTTCTCATATAGGTTCCTGTGCGGGCGAGGCACAACACACGTGTTTGGCTCGAGAAGATCCGGCAATGAAAAATGAAAAAATAACAAAAGAAAGAAAGAAAGAAAAAGACGGGAATGTCCTTGCTACCGACAGTATTAGGCGGTGAGTTAAGGGAGGAGAGGTTACGGTGAGGGATAATAGGGGAACAATGAAAGCAATACGGAGGGATGTGGGAGAGATGTTGCGCTGGTCGTAATGGTTTGGGACAGTATTAGGCTGAGCACGCTCGCGATGACACTTGGGAAAGTGCCGGTGAACCAGTTGTTTCCTGCAGGGATCTGCCACACATGGATCGGATTGAAGAACACGGAGAATAGAAGATAACCAAGGTGCATGAGCAACAGTTTGATTTGAACAATAGGGTTGATAATAAGATGGTGAGGAGTGGTGGCACATATAAGGAGGCGGTGGTGAGTGGTACTCACAGGCCTTTCAAGGAGGTGAGCAAGCTGAAGACGCTGAGGTACTTGCCAAGGTCGCCATCCATGATCTGCATGAACACTCTGCACGTCACAGCACCACCATACGCTGTGCCTTAGCCCAGGTCTTCACACAAGTGGTACGCTGCAGCAAAAAAAAAAAAGAAAAAAACAAAAACAGACAAATAGACAAACGCAAGGGTTGCATGTGCCTACTACTCACAAGTTGGTCAGGGCTGTGAGCTTGCTGACGTCGGCGGAGAAGCTCTTACGAGTGATGTCGTCGCAGAAATATCTGCCACATGGGGCAAGACAAGCAGGATGCACATGCGGTCATCTCATGGCAGCACGCACTTGCTGGAGGTACCGCCTAGAAAGTGGAGTGGCTGTGCAGCATGCACAAGCCAATGAAGCAGCTTGGTGTGTGGGAGCGGCACTTACATCTGCATGACGTTGCCGTTGCTGTTGCATAACAGCGTGTTGTCAGAACATTATAGCTTATGCTGTTGTGTAGGCTATAGTGGGGTATCCCATAGGGGGTACAACCCAATTAGGGTTAGTACTTGTACTCACTTCATTTCATAGTTCATTCATTCTCGTTCATAATTTCTCATGGTATCGAGCAGGTTCCCTCGTGGGAACTGTTCCTAGGGCCCACCAACCATTTTTTTTCCTGCCCGGGGCGCGTCCTGCCCCTGCCCGAAGCGCGCCTAGGGTCGCGCCCTCCTTAGTGGCCCGTCGCGTCACCCTTAGCGGCCCGTCGCCCTTAGCGGCCCGTCGTCTTAGCAGCGGCCCGTCGCCCTAGCGGCCCGTCGCCCTTAGCGGTCCGTCGCCCTTAGCGGCCCGTCGCCCTAGCGGCCCATCGCCCTTAGCGGCCCTTAGCGGCCCGTCGCCCTTACCCTAGCGACGGCCCGTCGCAGCCCTAGCAGCGGCCCGTAGCCGCCCTAGCAGCGGCCAGTTGCCGCCCTAGCCGCCGCCCGTCGCCGCCCTTTCAACTGCGGCCCGACGCCGCCCTAACGCGGCCCGTCGCCGCCCAATCTCTGCTGCGGCCTCTGCCGCCCTTTTCCCTGCGGGCCGTCGCCGCCCTACCAGCGGCCCGTCGCCGCCCGTCTCTGCTGCGGCCTCTGCCGCCCTTTGCTGCGGCCTCGCCGCCCTTTGCTGCGGCCTTGCCGCCCCTTGCTGCGGCCTCTGCCGCCCTTTGCTGCGGCCTCGCCGCCCTTTGCTGCGGCCTCTGCCGCCCTTTGCTGCGGCCTCGCCGCCCTCACCTGTGGCCCTGCCGCCGTCACCTGCGGCCACGCCGCCCTCTGCTGCGGCCTTGCCGCCCTCTGCTGCTGCCTCGCCGCCCCTCACCTGCTGCAGCGCCGCCCGCCACCATGACTGCACGACCCGCCCCACCCAGCCGAGCAGCCAACCGCCGCGCCGCCCTGCAGCAGCACCGCCGAGCCGCCCGGGCGACGGAGCAGCCGGACAGCCGAGCCGCCGAGCCGCCCAGCAGCCCAGCCGCCCAGCAGCCCAGCCGCCCAGCAGCCAGCCGCCCAGCAGCCGAGCCGCCCAGCAGCCGAGCCGCCGAGCCGCCCAGCAGCCGAGCCGCACAGCAGCCAAGCCGCCGAGCCGCCGACCAGCCGAGCCGCCGAGCCGCCGAGCCGCCCTACTTCCGAGCCGCCTGAGCTGCCCAGTCTGGTGAGCACAGCGCCTCTTTCACTGCACTGCCCTCACCCTACTGTTTGCACTGCTAGTCTACTGTGGTCATGGCTACCCCTAGTGTCCTCGCTTTTGACGCTGAGGGTCAGGCCATTGACTTTGAGGTCTTGGTAGATGACCTGCAGCTGTTTTTACCGTGCGATAGGGCAGACGGCCTCTCTCTCTTTGACCTCACCTCTGGCGCTTCCCCTGCCCCTGCTGCTGATGCTGACGCCACTGTTCGTTCCCAGTGGGCCACGCGCGACGTTGCTGCACGTCTTGCTGTGCGTCGCCAGCTCCCTACCTCCGAGCGTGCACACTTTAGTCAGTACAAGAGTGCTCAGACCTTGTACGACGCTGTAGTTGTGCGCTACTCCTCCCCTGCCACTGCTGCACTGAGCCGTGTCATGCTGCCGTACCTCTTCCCTGACCTTGCTGCCTTCCCCACAGTAGCTGACCTCATTACGCACCTCCGCACTAGTGACACTCGCTACCGCGCTGCGCTTCCTGCTGACTTCTGCGCCAAGAACCCCCCCCCCATGTACATCACCCTCTACTTCATAGTCACCCGACTCCCTGACTCCCTTAGAGTAGTCAGGGACCACTTCCTCGCAGTGTGCCACACCACTCTCACCATTGACCTCCTTGAAAAGTCCCTCCTAGCGGCGGAGAAGAGCATAGTCGCTGTAGGAGCCTCTCGCGGTGACCCCCGCACCACTGTCTTTGAGGGGTGTTCTCCCTCCCCCCTCTTGCCCTCTGTTGCTTCTGCTGCTGCGGCCGACCTCGTTGGTTTTGAGTCGGTCGGTGCTGCGTCTGCCCCTTCGGGGAAGCGGCGCACAAGCAGGGGCAAGGGCGCTGGAGGAGCTGGCGGGGGCGGTGGAGGTGGCAGTGGAGGCGGCAGAGGGAATGGGGGTGGTGGTGGGAGTGGTGGAGGGGGTGGGGGTACCGGTGGCAGCAGTGGAGGCGGAGGCGGCGGCGGTGGCGGAGGGAGCGGAGGCGGCGGTGGTAGCGGAGGCGGCGATGGGGGCGGAGGCGGCGGTGGTGGCGGAGGTGGGGGAGGCGGCGGTGGTGGTGGTGGAGCTGGTCGTGGGTCTACGCAGAGGAGTGGCTCCGGAAGTGGTCTGCGCCAGCAGCAGCAGCGCGGTCGTGAGACCCTGTCCCCTCAGCAGCTCCGTGAGTG